ACTCCTAAATTAGATTATATCGACCTGCCAGCCGTTTACATATATCGAACACCCTTTATTTAAGGCTATGTTAAGGTCCGTAGGCTTTCAGGACTCCTTACCGAGTGCGGATATAGTGTCCCGCCGATTAGGTCTTCGGCTTGATACTCTTGACAGTGAGCTTCGAATTTTGATGTCTTTAGCTTCGTCAATCGCGCTATCTCTTGATAGTTAGACAAGTCAGAACTCGTTACCAATGCTAGCAATTAATGCCTACTAGATGTCCCCTGATTTTCAGCAATATCGAGCCTATATTGAGTTCGTTGAAATCGAAGGCAACCACTCTAGAGAGAAGCTTGCTGATATCGTCGCGACGGTTCTCGACAGGTTTTATATATCTAATAAAGTGATAACAATTACAGCCGACAACGCATCTAATAATGACACCCTACACCGGTGCCTCTACCAAAAGCTGTCTCAGCGGTATAATAAGTACCTAGCTAAGACTATCATCCGAGAAGGGATAATAAAGTTTACCCAGAACTCCCAAATCCGCTGCTTTGCTCATATCTTGAATTTGGTCATAAAATCTATACTAAGGTCTCTACGCGCGAGTTCGCATAAGGAAGCCTGTGGTCTTCTTGATGATGTTGCTAAGGGAAGCTGGAAGACTATCAATACTCCTACTTCGCCTATTGCAAAGCTTCGACTACTTGTCCTTTGGATTGCGCGATCTCCCTAGCGAATACAGAAGTAGGATAATCGGCCTAGCTATACAAAAGCTATTAATTACGATGTTAACACTCAATAGAACTCTACCTTTGTTATAATTAAGAGAGCCGAAGAGTGTCGCCGGCAGCTCGAAGATACAGTCAACGACGAGCCAGATATTAAAGCCTTACGTCTCACACATAACGACTAGAGACAACTCTCAGATATCAAAAAAATCCTGACTCCCTTCAACGAATATACTGAGTACGTCTCTCGAGACAGTCCTTCAATTCATATAGCGGCGCGTATGTTTGAAGAGCTCCGTTCTATACTCCTCGCTATTAAGGAACGACGAGGCGAGTGGCAGAAAACCTCGGCAGCAATAACCATTTCTGTTTCCGACGGAATCTCACTCCTAGAGAGGTACCACGACTGTGTTAAAGACAACGACATATACTATATCGCAAGCATTCTGGATCCTCGAATCAAGACTAAGTGGCTCAAAACGCTACCAGATAGAGACAAGATTATCGACCGAATCAGGGCGTTCCTAAAGAAAGCATATCACACCCCGGAACAGCCTGCATCGACTGCTCCAAGCACCAATTACAAGAGCTTCGAATATCGATTTTTGGAGGCCTTTCAGCCAACGCAGTGTAACGTCGCTGAGTCAGATATCGACCAGTATTTCGATACTCCTACAATCAGCACTGGTTTCGAAACAAGCCAGAGCCAGACTGAATTTATACGGGACTGGTGGAAGGCCAACAGGCTTAAATTTACTTGTATGGCCAAGGCAGCACAAGATCACCTTGCTATACCAGCAGCGGAGGTAGATATAGAGAGATTATTCAATGGCGGGAGAGATGTACTAGGAATTCGACGTTTCTCTATGAAAGGCAAGACTCTTGGGACCTTAATAAGGCTGAAAGATGCTGCACGTTGGAAGTCTGAATAGTTACGCAGTTATAGTTTCTTTTGGAATACATACGGTTGATATTATGCATTTGCTAAAGTCTTTTTGTCGGGGCCGGACACCTCAAAAACTCCTCTCCAAGGCGTGCTTCTGCTAAGAAAGCTAGAAATTAGTTCGCGAACCTGTTCGAAATTCGCGAATTTTGACGAATCGAATCGCGTACAGATTCGAAGTTCGAAAACCAAGGTTCGAATTCGATTCGATTCGTCGAAATTCGCGAATTTCGAACAGTTCGAAAATTCGTGCGGAGCGGTACATGGTTGATGGGAGTTTTTTGTATATTGTGTGTTGCTTGTCCTGTATACAAAGAGGCTGGTAGCCAGCCGGATATATATACATGCACGTGCTCTCTATCTCAGGGACCGGGATATTCAACACTCCCACTCGCTGATTTCCTTCGTCATGAAGGATGTCAGCGATACCGCTCCGCACGAATTTTCAAACTGTTCGAAATTCGCGAATTTCGACGAATCGAATCGAATTCGAACTGTTGAGTATCACGGTGGCTGAACCTTGGCAAGGATTGGGGAGCGATATATATGAGGCATCCCGCCCCTGTAGAGAAAAACTCCCTAAGTCAATCAACAAGAATCAATCAGACAATCACTTATCTCAATAATTCGAATCGAATCGAATCAGGCAAAAGTTCTGTTGAATATCACGGCGGCTACGCTTATGGAGGGGATTAGGGTCGGAGATATAAAGACGGGCTACCCCTCTTCTGTAAATAAGTTAACTAGAATCAATCATACAATCACTTATCTCAACAGGTTATGAGCCCGAGTGGCGCAACCCTTAGGCGCGCAGCTCGGCAACAGAAATTCAAACAGTCACCTTTCTGCTACCACCTACAGCTAAGTTTCCCCATCAAGTGATAACTTCATCAAGTCAAAGATCTAACCACATTGACTCAGTGACTTGGTGAAAGAGGATCGAAATCAAGAGTTCAAACCCTCTGGATGAGATGAAGTGGATGGACTTTCCTCCGCTAGAGAATCACAGACATCACACTATCACTGTGACTATCACACTATCACACTATCACTATCGCAGATATCACATCGTCGCGAGATATCACAGTGATGCCCCCTGTGATTCGTCAAAGTGAAACGTCACCAAGACGGAAGGGAATTGAACCCCCTAATTCAGTGGCCCTCGGCGCAACATTATTGCAGCAATATCAACCATAAGAGCAGATGAAACAATGTCGCCTTCTGCAGCGAGCTCAAGAACTGCTTCCTCACGGTTACCGTCTCGATCTCAAAAACGGTCATCTCCGCCTGCAAGAAACACTAAACGGCAAAGCAGACACTCTTGGACAGACGAGGAGCTAAATCTTCTTTCGTACCTTCGGCACCTTCATCACTGGCGCTTCACACGAATCCAGAAGGCATACTTCCCATCACTTTCAAAAAGTGCAATCTTAGGAGCCTACTGGCGCCTGTCCACTGAAGACCGCGTACGCCGAGCATCAGCGGTCACTGCTCCAATTACCACCCCTCACAACTCTACAAGAGACTCTCGCAGTACCCCCAACACTCAATCTACGCGTCCTGGCCTTGAACAGGGACCAAGTTATCTTCATCATCCTATTTCTTGTCCACTCCCCCAGGCGGAAAGTGGCACTGAGACCTCGATCTTACCCTCGCCGAGTTCTGCAACTGGAGAAGAAACAGTAGGCCAAAGCAGCAATACAAATCGCTACAACCTTCGGCCAAACAGATCTACAACCTTCCCGCAAAGGAAACCGCGATATCTAGTTGACCGGCGCCGTTTCCCTCACTTCTCCAAGTCGTACAGGTACCACCTGAACCTGCACGGGCGGTCAGACAGAGACTACGTCCCGTTGTCTCACACACCTACGCCAAACTCATCGGACCATAGCCCTTCCGTCGTCTCGAGCCCGCCTAGTGTCGCATCAAGTCTAGAGCTCTTTGGCTTAGAAGCGCGTTCTCTGAACTCATCAGATCGTGGTTCCTCGGTTACCTCCAGTTTATTCGACGACATCTCCAGCGCAGAATTCCTGAGTTCCGAGGAGCGTCCACCTACACCATGACTGACATCGCGAAGTTTGAGCAGTTTGGATTAAATACATTCTACAATGGCATTCCAATACTTGACAATGCCAGTGACTGGTTTAAGTGGAATCAGAAGGTCAATGAGTTCATTCGGATATCCGCCGTTGCCGACGATGGAACGACTCCGCCAATAGAGGAAGAAGAAGCACGGCTATGGACTTATCGCCAAAAGTTCTACTCTGCGATGATCACGGCAAAGCTGACCCACAATGCAGCACAAAGGATCAACGCTTTTGAGATCTCTCGAGTCCACGCACTCCTAAAGGCAGTTAAAGACAACTTCAAACCAGAAGGCACTGGCACGTACGTGAACCTCCAGCGACGGTACATGTCCCTCACAAGAGAGAAATGTGGAAGCGCTCAAGCCCTAGGAGCTGAGATCAGGAAGATCCATGCTGAGAAACTTCTCCTTGACCCTGACTGCGTGAGCTCCGAGATTGAGCGAACATTCTTTTTCGTGCACGCATTGGGTCCTGAATATGAAAGTTTCCGTGATCATATATTTCGGCAAATGGACCTTGTTAACGAAAGAGATGCCAATGGTAACATCACAAAAGCGGCGCCCACGTTCGACTATATCGAGAACAAGGCAATTGAGGAAGAACATAGGAAGGGGCAATTGAGCAAACAACCAACAGAGGCGCAAGCGCTTCCTGCTCTCGCTGTAATCCGAGGGCCAGGTGACAAGAAAGTCATACCGTCATCCGACGGAACGACATATCGAATCGAGATCGATAACGTCCCATATTGCTCCCTCTGCCGGAAACCTTATCATGTGGACGCTGAGTGCTTCAGCAAGAATCCCAGACCGAGGGATCAGAAGAAAGACGGAAAGAGCCACAAGTCAAAGCCAGGCAATTCACATACAGGCGCACGCAAGCCATCGAAGCGGCGGCCCTCCTCAGATGACGAAGATGATGATGTCGGTAGTCCAAGGGATCCAAAGAAGCCCACCTTCATGGCGACAAAGGTCTCTGGAGAAGATGTTAATAAATGTCAGGAATATGACACCGCTAGTCTTTCCAGCTAGCCACTAGCCAGATTCGGTTAGATTCACTCGTTACACACACATTTTCATGTGCCCTTTTTCTCATGTTAGACAATCACCAATACACATATCTCTGATCCCATTCGCTCTGCCACATACTAGTCTATACTGTCTTAGCTTGCTCTGACAGTTATGAGCCCGAGTGCACACTGATTGACTGCTAGACAACACACATCTCTGTTGATCTATCCAGTGAGAGTCTTCCGCAATGGCAGAGATCTCTGGTCCGCCCACTACTGGCGTTAAACTAGACAACGAGGGCGATTGGCACCTATGGCTATCAGCTATCAAGAATATTGCCCTCGAAGCACAGATCTGGCAGTATATCAATCCCCGACTGCCGACTGAACCACTAGAGCCTACTGAGCCAATAAAACCGACGGCCGAGCAGATCACTGGCGACCCTACAGCAACGGTTCATTCGCTTAGTCAAGCTAATCTATCGCGTTATTCAACGCTACTCACAATATATCAGACCGAGCGTGCCGAATATCAAACGTTCTTACGAGCCCGCCAGCGAATCATCAACGTGATCTACGCAAGTGTGACCCGATCGAATCAACACTATCTCGCCGGCCTACACACGCCCTATCAGCAGCTTCGAAAGCTTCGGACGATCTTCGCCCCGTCACCCCGGCTCTATACACAGCGACTTCGTATGATCTGGCGAAGTCATCTTGATTCAGCCAAGAATAAGTCGAGTAATAAGCAAGCGTGGCTTACACGAATCGAGGCCCTCTATAACGAATGCGTTAATGCGAACGTTCCGGAGGTTCTTAATACGGATGCGTTGCTATACGATTTCTTGACGGCAATTCGTATCGCTGGATATGAAAACTTCTTCCAGACCTGGTTTCAACAGATCTTTGTGAATAACCAGGATATCGATTTCTACCGCCTCGTTCATCACTTTCGTGAGGCTCAACGGGTAGAGGCTACTCAGTCAAATGCCTCTGGTATTGCCTTTGCTGCTACGTTAAACGGTCAATCAACCCAATATCCTCGCAATCCTTGTGTGTGTGGTGGCAACCACTCATATAAGCGGTGCTACTATCTTAACCCTACGACTCGCCCTGCTGGCTGGCAACCACGGCCAGAAACAATAGCTAGTATCAACAATATCCTTGCTAAAGATTCTACTCTGGTTGAGCGAATCAGAAAGGTTTTGCCAAACCTCAAGGGCCCTGCCTTTGTAGCGTTTACTGATATTGATATCGCCACTGAGACCATCACTTTTTAAGCAGCCCTGTTGCTCGCTATTCACCTGTTTTCTCAGCAGCTATCTCGCTCGCTATTCATCTGTTCAGCAGCCACGTTGCTCGCTACGCACTGTTTTATCAGCAGCTATCTCGCTCGCTATTCATCTATCTAGCAGCCACGTTGCTCGCTATTCATCCAATTCATCAGCAGCTATCTTGCTCGCTATTCACTGTTGTTTCATCCGATGTCTCCTTCGCTGGCTGCGTAGCTAGCTGAGGGGGTATGTCAGGAATATGACACCGCTAGTCTTTCCAGCTAGCCACTAGCCAGATTCGGTTAGATTCACTCGTTACACACACATTTTCATGTGCCCTTTTTCTCATGTTAGACAATCACCAATACACATATCTCTGATCCCATTCGCTCTGCCACATACTAGTCTATACTGTCTTAGCTTGCTCTGACAATAAAGCATTTGGAAAGGACGTTGAAGGCAACTTCGCCCTGTTCGACCATATCCCCGCATTGATGGCTACAAAAACCCTACCGATCCGTGACGCATGGATCGTCGATAGTGGATGTGCTCAACACGTCTGCAATAACGCCTCGAGATTTTTAAAGATGGACAAGTACCATGGACCACCACTGAGAAGCGTCGATACCTCCACGACTCCCTCGGGAGTGGGGACAGTCAATGTTCTGTGCAATGTACGAGGCAGAAGGAAATAGCTTGTGCTTGACAATGTCCTCTACGTCCCATCTGCACATGCAAACCTCATATCGGTGCTCCAGCTTCTCAAACGAGGAGCAAAAGTCGAATTCTCAAGCCAAAGTGCTAGTATTCGCAACAAGTCAAACGGAAAGAACCTATACACTGCCAGCCAATATCATAGAGTCTACGCACTTGACATATAGACGAATCTCACCTTTCCCTCCTACCATGTCGGTCCACAAATGGCTCTTTGGCATAATCGGCTAGCTCACCTGAGCGATGGGAACCTACATCGGCTTAAGAAGCAGGCCTTCGGCATCCGGGACATGGAACCACGTCAACCATGCAACCCATGCCTCCAGGGACGAATAATTGAAAAGCCCCACAACCGCTCGGGACGAAGCAGACGAGGGGAATATGCAATAGAACTTCTCCATATCGATATCGCAGGCCCATTTAACGAGGGCCTCGACGGTAGTCGCTATTAGCTCACCGTCGTCGACGACTTCACGGGGTGGATCGAGATTGTCCCTATACCACGACGACAAGAATTTGTCATAGAGTCACTACGTTTCTTCCTTAATCATAACGAACACCCTGAACGGAAGTGTAGACGAATACGCCTCGACCGGATCCCTGAGCAAGTGGGAGAAGAGATGAAGTTCATACTATTCTCACGGGCAATCCATACCGAGGTCACAGGCGTTGATCAACACCAGCAGAATAGGGCTGCCGAGAGAGCCCATAAGACAATTTATGATCGGGTTGGACCTACGCTAGCACATACGAGACTACCACCTAAATTCTGGCCAGAAATTGCTCGAACTGCAGCCTTCCTCTCCAACCGGTCGCCGTCATCAAAGCTCAACATAACTCCGTATCAAGCCTGGTACGGCGACAAGCCGGACCTATTACGACTCAGGGTGATCGGATCCAAAGGGGAATACTTAATTCCACCCAAGCAGAGGAAGAAGCTCACAGAGCCAAGAACCAGGCCATACATTCTACTAGGCTATGAGGGGAATATCAACTACCGTATCCTGCTAGAAGACGGAAGAATCGTTGGGACCCCAAACGCTGAATTTCATGAAGTCCTTACAGCTCCTTCCACACAGACTATAGAAGATATAGGAGCCAGACGAGACGGCTCACCTAAGGCAACGGCTGCTGCCGCAGGGGGAGTAAGACGGTGGGACTAATAAATCAACCGTCGGTAGGCACACAGCAAGCATCCGTACCCGCCTCTAGGCGCCAGTTGTCGATGGCACCACCAGAGCGAGCCCTACCTAAGTCGAGGAACGATATCTCGCACACACTGCCTCGAACGAGTAACGATAACTCACGAGTGCTAACCCAGTCGAGTGACGAGGACTCGCAGACATCAGCGTCGTTTCAATCGAGTGACGATAACTCGCAGCCATCTGTTGCTGTACAGGGAGACAGGACCTTGTCGCCTACACGGAGTGATAATACCTTTGGATCATTTGCAGATGATTTACAAGACATCATCCAGAGGAATGACTCACCACCCGGAGGCGGCCAGCAACAAGACGACGCTCAACAAGGTCTAGTTTCAGGAGAATGGCAACGATCTCCAGAACTCCAAATTGACCGCCCAGTTCATGAAGTGCGACAAGAAGCACTAGAACACCACCCTGAACTCAAAATTCGGGCTCCGCACGTCACACTAGACACATTTAGTGACAGCGAAGAAGAGCTTGCGTTAATGAACATACCTAAAGAGAACGTCATCCCAACATTCTTAACAGTAGCTGCAAAGGAAACAGAACCTTTTGAGCCAAAGACTCTGCACCAAGCGAAGAACGATGCAAGCTGGCTCGAATGGGAACGAGCAATGCTTGAAGAAGTGAACTCGCTCAACCAAAACAAGACGTAGGAGCTTGTTGATCCTCCCAAAGATCGGCGGATTCTCAGTGGAAAATAGGTCTACAAACTCAAACGAGGACCGCATAGCGAAGTCATCCGTTACAAAAGCCGGTGGGTAGTGAGAGGCTTTACACAAGAAGAGGGTATCGACTACGACGAAACTTTTGCCTCGGTTGTCAAGCCAATGAGCTACAAAGCTCTATTCGCAATCGCGGCGGCCCAAGATCTAGAGATCGAGCAAATGGATGTCAAAACGGCATTCCTGTACGGGTACATAGACCACGAGATCTACGTCGAACAGCCTCACCACATAACCGACGGCACATCCAGGGTCTGTAAACTTCGAAAGGCACTCTATGGCCTAAAACAAGCTCCTCGGATCTGGTACCAGACCCTTACAAATTTCCTACGAAATCTCGGCTTCGAGCCAATCAGCGCTGATCTTGGGATCTTCGTCCGGAGCAATATGTACATCGCGGTGTACGTCGATGACCTCTTAATCGTGGGGCCAAGCATTGCGGAAATAAAGAAGATCAAGCGGAGCCTCAGAAACCGCTTTCAAATGACAGATCTAGGACCATACAGCTACTATCTCGGGATGTCTGTCCAGCGAGACCGTCAAAACCGGATATTGTACCTAAGTCAAGAAGCGTATATTGACAAGGTCGCTCACCAGTTCGGAATCAGCAACGGCGCCCCCATCAGCACACCGATAGAAACTTCACCACTTCCAGAGAATAATCCAGGATACAGTTGTCCTCCAGATCAAAGAATCATATACCAACGCATTGTCGGATCTCTGATGTACATTATGCTTGGGATAAGGGGGGACGTCGCGTATACCGTCTCTATGGCAAGCAGGCATCTAGCAAATCCTGGACCACAACACCTGAAACTCGCTCGACGCATCCTGCGGTATCTCAACGGCACAAAAGACCTCAGGCTCACGTACAAGGGTCAGCCCCAGATGCTGAAAGGCTTTACAGACGCAGATTAGGGTGGATGTCGCGACACTAGACGTTCAACAGCTGGATACCTTTTCAATATCGGGAGTGGAGCAATCAGTTGGCAATCGAAGCGCCAAAGCGTCGTTGCCCTCTCGACCTGTGAAGCTGAATTCCTAGGGCAGACACAAGCAACCAAAGAAGCAATCTGGTTGAGAAGACTTCTCAATGAGTTAAACATGAGCCAAGGGAAAACCGCAACGATCATTTGTGGTGACAACCAAGGAGCCATCGCCCTGTCCTCGAACCCACAATACCATTCCCGCACGAAGCATATGGAAATCCAACGCAAGTGGCAAGGAGAGGTGCAAGACACTGGAACGGTAGAACTGCAGTATGTTCCAACTACCGAGCAAATTGCCGATGGGTTCACCAAACCTCTTGCACGACAACGATTTGAATGGTTTCGGAGAGGACTTGGCATTGAGTGATGACCACAACTTACTGGCCCTGAGCAGAGACTGAGCTGCAAGGGTACCCTTTCCTTCTTTTCCCTCAAAGGGGTTTTTAAAGGTTTTAATGGGGCCCGCCGCAACCATGATGAATGGTCATTGGCTCCCTTGGTGACGGTTGCCATCGAGTGGGAGTGTTGAATATCACGGCGGCTACGCTTATGGAGGGGATTAGGGTCGGAGATATAAAGACGGGCTACCCCTCTTCTGTAAATAAGTTAACTAGAATCAATCATACAATCACTTATCTCAACAAGTTCGATTCGATTCGATTCGTGTGGAGCGGTAATCGCCCGTGAGGAGACCCAGCCGGGCTAAACTGCACCGGGAAGTTGTCGTCCTCTAGATAAGCATTAGTTGCACTCGGTGCTTGTTCTGGTCGTAGGGTTCACACGAAGCCCGTTGCAGGTATTTGTCACTGTATGCCTGTGCAGGTGGTGCTTATATGATTATTATTGCCTTGCTTGACTTTGCTGGTCTTTGCTGTGGCGGTGCGCGACTATTGATTCTGACAGGCGCTGGCGATCCTTGTGTTGAGGATAGTGGAGCAGTTGCTTACAGCTGTTTCCTATTGGTTTCTTTTGTCACCCGCCTTTCTTTGTATTTTGTATGTAACTACGGGGTTTCGAGACAACACTTACAAGTCACTCTCGAGTATCCCATGGGTCCTCTAAGACACAGAGGAATTGGTCCCATCCACATATCAACAATGAACCAACTCTTCAGATGTGTATTTAACATACCCTCTGCCTGACACTCATTTTATCTACAATCCATCAATTCTATCTGTCAATTCTACTGATTGGTTCCCCTTTAAATAGAATCCCCACTCATTGCATACCATGCCGTACTGTATTAGCTTGTTCTGACACCTTGTCAACTATGCATTGGTACACAGGTTGAAGGGCGATCATAGAGGCCGAACAGCCAGCCGTGTAGATCGAAATGAAAATAATTAAAAATTAACGAAAGAGCGGAACGATCGACAAATGATGGAATTGCGAACGGTGGAATCGCCGAAGGAGAAACTGTCAGCAACGCCGGAAATACTCCTCGTCGACACAAGTCCAAAATCCGTTTGGCCGTTACGGGCGACCACCAATTGACATAGGAATTTCAACAAAAGAAATAAACCGAAAGCGGAAAAGTAAAAAATATAGGTCATGTCTCATCACTGGGGCTGTTCACGTCCCAGGTTAGCACTTACACTCCCACCACCCTGCCCTTTACCAGGGACTCCGCGACCCCACCATCCAGTCCTCCATGGCAAGCCATTCGCTCCAGCGCGCTTCGGCCACCCAGATCTCGTCCTCAGAGGCGTCACGCAGTGGCCGCAGGAATGGAGTTGGCTCGTCGGGCAGCATGTCGTAGGCCGCCTTGGTCGAGGCCCATCCACTGCTCTTGGCCGTGAAGAGGTAGTTCGTCCGCTCTTGCCTGTAGATACAGCCCACGCCGGCGTGCCAGTTGTCACCGAAAAAGGCTTGCATCATCACCGGCGAGTCCTGCGCGGTCACAATCAGGCGTCGCACATAAGGCCGGAGGGAAACGAAGGAAGGGGCCGGTTCCAAGGGGCGCTGGCAGGGCAGGCGGATGTTGATGAAGGCGGCTACCGATGTTACGGCGGGGGAGTGCTGGCCGCACTCGACGAAGTACTGCACACAGTGCTTATAGTACGGGTACCAGCCGGTCGTGTCCAGGCGCCCGAACTCGAAGTCGGAATGCGGCTCAGGATAGATCGTACCCTCATCGACGGGACGGTTGTCGTGCCTGTCGAAGGAGCGTTCAGTCTCTCGCTCGACGGATCCTAAAGGAAAGGTGGGAGGGTCTCAGAATAACGGCCATGGCGTGCAATCCTCCCCCTCCAGATCAAGGGAGGGGTGGAGGAGTCCAGGACCTACTTGTAGCGGGATGCTGCTCGCGCAGGCAGTGATCGCGCAGGGCCATATGCGGAGAGTTTTCCCAGCACTCTCTTCCGGAACCCTGCATGCTCAGCGATATGGTTGGCTTTCGACATATGTTGGAGGGCAAGGGTATCTCTGACGACGCAGAATCCGAGACGCAGAGTGATCCCAAATCCGATCAGGACAGGATATGCGGTAGCGGCAGTGTATGGAGACACATGAATAAGGGGAGCGCTGCTTGCCAGGAGGTGGAGGCGAATGGCGAGACCCTTATAGCTCCCCGCCGGAGACATGGCACCGGGCAGACCGAGGCCCTCCCAGGGTCGGTGTGATGCCAGAAACCAAAAACGATCACATCTGAAGGCCAAGGGTGGACTAGCCCAGGCTTGACGGGTAGGAGTGGATCAGGAATGAGAGCTATCGAGCAAGGCGACCAATGGTCAAGGCACAGGGCCACTTGAGCCACAGTTTGCGTGCACTAGCCCCGGGCATGACCTAGCGTGTGGCTCGTGCGCTTGCCCCCAAATAGCAAGGGGCATGTGGCTGAGGTCTCGGTCTTGGCCGAGGCTCAGACTAGGCCGATTAGCAGCCCAATAGTCTGGGTGCGCCCGCCCACTATCGGTTGGGATTGGGGAATGATTTGGAAGACCGCGGGATCTCCACTAGCCCTGGTCTGGTGTTGTGTAGAGTGGTGGTCGCATTGCATTGGCCTGCCTGGTTGTTTCTGTGGAGGAAGGTGGAGCAGTTACAGCTGCCTCCTATTGGTTTCCTTCGGCCCCCGCCTTTCTTTGTGTTTTGTATGTAAATTACGGGGTTCCGAAGTCAGTCTCGAGTATCGCATAGGTCCTCTAAGACACGGAGGAATTGGTCCCATCACATATCACCTATGGGCCAACTCTGCAGATGTGTATTTAATATACCCTCTGCCTGCCACTCATTTTATCTAAAATCAATCAATTCAGCCCGTTTTAGTTGGTTCCGCCTGATCCTCATTCGCCAGAGTGCATACTAGCAGATACGAGATTACCTCCCTCTGTTAGTTTCCGTCTATTGTACCTAATCTGTTAGCCCTCTGTTCTCTGTGGGTCAGCAACCCGGTTCTCGTGTTCTTTTAATGCAAGTCCGCCTAGGCGTGCTTATCAGTCACGGCGTCGGATATTGCCACCTACTCAGTCAGATTGAGTATTGCTGACTGGTCGCCTTACCATCAGTGATTGAACCGTCACCACATCAGTCACCACAACCGTCAACACATCACCGTCAACACATCACCGTCAACACACACTGTTGGGATAAGTGACTGTATTGGTTAAGTTGACTCCCTTGCAGGAGATGGGACACCTCATCTATTTACATATCCATGGCCAGTCCCCGCCATAAGGTTTGACCACCGTGATATTCAACAGTGAGACCCGACCAGAGAACAGAAAGCAGACAGGAGGTAGGTTATGGGAGACTATTCTTCTCATGGTAAACCTCCTCTAACGGTCATCCTAAGCCTAACTCGGCTTTAAACAGGTATGAGGGCCTACCAATAGTGTTGCGCTGCGGACGTAGATTCAGTGGTTTAGTCGCTTCCAGTGAGAAGGTTCTTTACCTGCTGGAGTGGGTCACGGTCGAAATACCACTACCGCAGTGACCTCCTATTCAGGAGTGCTTGGTGTGGCAAGACGCCCTGCGGACACTTACCGTGGCTGAATGTCGAGCAAGGTGGCCTTGATATTCTGGGGGTGCAAGCGTTGCAATCAGTTCGCCATTTATAGTATTGCTTCTCACTAATCTCCAAAACTGAGGAGGCGACGGTCTGGGTACCTGCGGCCTCCGTAGATTTAGGAAAAACGTCTTCGGGCTTCTGTCGCTCGCTATCTATACTAGATCGAGAGCCACAAGGCCAGCCATGTAATATATCTACCCGTGGCACTGACCACCCTACCCTTGCCGGGTTAGGGTAGTCCAACTCTCAATACAAAAAAATCACCTATTCCTCTCCGACATACTCCTACCACCCACCACCATAACGGGTAATTAATTCCTACGCAGAGGAATAAGATCGAATTAATGATACCCTGGAAGCCTATAATAGCAGTAAAATCGAAAACTTTTGCTTTAGCGCGCGAGTATCGCGTATACTACCCGTGCTACCGGCAGCTAATCTGCCCATAACCTAGCTAGTTACACGCTCAATGAGCTATCCTCCTCAGCATCGCGTTGCTGGCAAGGCGGTACTGAATACATGCACATCGGTCAGGCCTCGGTAAAACCACTCAAAACCTCAAGGAGGAGAAATAGTGGCAAGAGCGCCATCGCGGTTACACATTCTCCTTTATGAGTTCTTCCGTGTCGATACCTAAAAGGTTGCAAAACTTGGTGAATGGAGAGGGTTCCAGAGGCATGGTGAGTCCATCAGCGGCCTGTTCCGCGGTAGGAACGTATTCGAGACTAATTTCTCCTGTGTTCAGAACTGCTCGCTGGTAATGGAACTTCACATTGAAGTGTTTCGTCCGTTTGTGAAACTCAGGGTTGCGGGAGAGTGCAATGGCAGATTGATTGTTAGCCATGATATTGGTTACCGGCAATTGGAACAGGTTCGTTTCCGCCAGAAACGTGCGGAGCCATTGTAAGTGAAGGATGGCGTTGTATTGGCCAATGTACTCGGCGTGGGTCGTGGACGTGGCCTTTACTTCCCCCTGTCTTCTGTATATGAAGCGACTCAACGCCTAAGCGCGAACGCGATATCAGGGCGTGTTCTGACCGTGAGATACATCAACGATCCGATTGCGGACCTGAACCGTGCTTTGCGCCATCTTTGTCTAGCTCGCTTTCTTTCGGAATGTTACGCCAAAAATAAGGGAGCCTCCCATAAGTATCGAAGATATATTTACTCATATTCAGGATTCTATTTTAATAGGGGGAAACACGGTATTATAGGATCCCATTTCTCGATTGTAATGAGGGTATAGCACCTGCGGTCAGCCAGCTGGCGGCATATTACAAATCGACACAGATCGGCTGATGCTAGTAACTACACAATGCGACCAATCCTGGGAGATGAAAAGGAAAAGTAGAAAGGGCACCCGAGAGGTTCGCTCTCAGGCTGGTAACTTTTTGTAGCTCAGAAAGTTGATTGAGTTATTCTTTCTGATGAGATACAAGAGACTATATATACACAACGTGAAGCCCAAATTGATTTCCAATCATTTGGTTCTTCATATAAAAATGCAGGAATTATTTCCGATGTTGCGGCTTTGTTCCTGATGTACACTTGCCTTTATCACAACATAGTCAAATGAACCCACCACAGGGGTACGGATGTCGATCGTGGCCGCTGAGACTGAAGTTCAGACTGGGCTTGGGGCAGATTTGAATGCACTTGCTGCTCCTGGCGTATGGTAGCGGTCTCTTGACGAAGTGCGTTAATCTAACCACAGAGGGCTTCGAGGTTATCGTTGGATTAAGCACCCAGGGCTGCACGAAGCTGATCGAAATGCTCCATCGTGAGGAGCAAGAGCGTAGTTAGAGAAGAGAGATAACAAAAAAAAAAAAAAGCACTGGCTGCCAGTGAGTAGTGGTGAGGAGGGGAGAGAGAAAGAGAAAACAAAGATATCCTTGCGGAGACTTCCCCCCGAGGTCGACGTTGAATGAAGCAACACCAAGCACCTGCCGGTGTACGGGAAACGGGAAACTGCCAGATGGATCAACCGGTCTCTCGCCGCAGCTTACCAAGTTGTTCGTAAACAGTGGAGAGAAATCGTGCCAATACTGCTCTCAGGGTTTTGAGAGAGATCTACCCTTACTTACCCTCAGGCCCTTAAGAGAAGGATACTTGGTTGAATGTTACAGCCCGGTTACGCAGAGACAGACGTCAACCAACGTAGTACCTCAACTCATCTTTTTTGGATTGGTTCCCCTTTGTATATTCGCCCCATCTCACGTACAAATTCCATACTGTATCAGCTTTCTCTGGCACTTGATATTTCTCGTATATGTCTGCTCAGGAGCAGTATCAGGTACCATGAACTTTGAGGATCTTTGTATTAAGTATCATTACCAAACACGGAGGTCACGATAAGTTGACTGACGGGTAGCCCCTGGAACGATTTTGCAATGGACAATAGTCTGATTGACATATTCTGTCCGAAAAATGCCGATCAGTATCGATGTGACTGACGGATACAACCGTGTGATGTTACATTTACACTTCACGCATAGGGATCTGCATGTAGTATGTGCTTTCAAGCCTCCTCGGGCTGTAGCATCCGAGTCACTGGCATTCTCTGGGGTATTCCAACTCCCCGTTTCCATTCTTTGGATCTCTTTTGTTTGTTTGATTAGAATCAATCACCTCATCTAGGGATGGCAAATTGAAATTTCAAAATTTCGAAATTACTGAAATCTGGCTGCTTGAAATGAAATTTAAAATGCACCTTGAAATCTTGAAATTACGCCAGTCCTAAATAAGTAACAAGTGGATCGGCTGACCAATCAGGGCAACTGGCTGGTTCCAGTTGGGGTGGTGGGGAATCAGACCTGATCTTCGGTCATTGGCTTGGTCGGGTTCAAGGGAATGATGACTCATTAATGCCAAGATATTTTGAAATGAAATTGAAACCAGAAAAAAAGCAAAATTTCAATATTTCGAAATGGGTTGACAAATTTCGAGATTACAACATCCCTAACCTCATGTGAAGCTAGGCTATTACAGTATAGGCTTGTACGCATTTGATGGGTCTAGAGAAGCAAGGGGAACCAACGTGTTGAAGCGTCGCTGCTTACGTGATTGTAGAAGAGGGGTTGAAGCCCTCGTGACTCGGCGAGTGTCGGGAATCCTTGGAGTAGATAAAGAAATCACGGCATACGCTAAGTCGAGTCGACTCTAGCGGTTTTCTACCGCTCCGCATTCCTCGACACCTCATCTATCTGTTCCCCTTTCTGATTCCGTTGCTCTGATTGGTCCATTCACGTACTCGGGTTTTTGTCGCTGATACAGTTTACGTCTGGCATATTCTGATTCTGTACATTGATTCAACTTCATCCACCAAGTGGACTGAAATATACATGTAGATTATATTGGACATTATCAAGTTATACATATCTCCAATGGATATCAACGGAGGCATTTGCTATCCAGCAGATGTAAGGGGGGCCATTACCGTCTCAGAAATCGGTATTCCTTGAAAACATGCTGGGTACATGTCTCGGTTTGCTGGAATATATTAGGTCATCACCCATGAACGCCAGAATATCCGCATTATTGCGGTATTTGCTGTTAGATATACGGATAGATGTGACATTTACATTCCAGACATGTCGTACAATACACTCTGGAATCCGGATCTTCAATGCTGCAATCTCAATCTTCTCTAAACGAACCCCATGGACGAGTCTCATAGTGCAAAAATTACCTCTGTGTATGTGTTATTCCTCAGTCTATAGTTAGTAACGGGTTTCAGGCATCTTCTTCAACATCGTCACCTAACTCTGTATAATATACTTCGACAGACTATAGATTTGCATCGACCTAGTAACAATGTTATGGCCAAATCCAATGATTGGCTATATCACAGTACATATTGCCTGGTAAGGACAAGAAATGGCCACTATCTAGTATGCTAAAAATAGTAGAATGTTAAAATGTGCCTTCTTTGCGTTCTTGAATGTTAATATAAACAGTCTCTGATCCCCTCACGTGTACAGGTACTATCAGGTAAAAAAACCACTCCACACTCTTTTTCTATCATGACGTGGACTCCAGTTATTGAGGATCGCCCAATCTCTATTCTCGGCGCAGGCTTTTTGGGCCGCCGCATTGCCTGTGTGTTCGTTGCGGCCGGATATGTGGTTCACATTTACGATCCTTCTGCCGACGCCCTGGAAGCAGCAGCTAAATACATTGACCTGAACAAGGCGGCCTACGCGAAATTTGTTCAACGCCCCACTAAATACGGTCTGTACTCGCTATTTCTACGTACGGCTGACGCAGTCTGTGACGCCTGGCTGGCTGTCGAAGCAATCCCGGAAGACCTTCAGCTTAAGATCGAAACCCTTGGGACGTTAGACGAGCATGCACCTGAAGATTGTATCTTCGCATCCAACAGCTCGTCCTTTCGATCAAGTCTCATGCTGGATAAAGTGACCAGCACGCGACGGAAACAGATCCTGAACATGCACTTTTATATTCCTCCTACTATGAGAGCAGTGGAACTGATGACGGATGGGGAGACACACACTGAGATTTTCCCTTTCCTAGTCGGTTTTCTAGAATCGTGTGGGATGTTGCCAGTTGTCGTGAAAAAGGAGTCAACGGGGTATGTTTCTCTCTCCTATGGAGCATTCTAAACTAACGCTCGAGATCAGGTTCATCTTTAATCGCCTGTGGGCCGCGATCAAACGAGAGATCCTCCTCATCCTTGCGGAAGGAATCAGTGAGCCCAGAGAAATTGACCTACTCTGGGACCAAGTGCTGCGTTCTGGACCTCCTCCATGCAAGCTTATGGACGAGGTTGGCTTGGACACAGTGGCTTTTGTCGAAGATACGTATATCCGGGAGCGCCGGCTGGACGGGAAGATGACGGTCAAATGGCTGTGGGAGCATTATCTCCGGCATGGCCGGCTGGGCAACAAAGCTCGCGAAGGGGGATTGTATTCACCTACTAAAAAAGTTCCTTGTCCCAGTGACGACTCTCCTGTGGCGTATCTCATAGACGTCGGCATCGGTGCAAACCTCACGGATTTAAAGCATGCCGCGGCTAATGGCAAGCTCCTCTCTCTCACGGCACACGGAGAGATTTCAACCCTTGTTACGGGCCTGAGATTGCCAGACAGCGTCGGCATCTCTAAGTCAACCAGTCGCATCTTTTGGACGTGTATGGGCAGTCTATCGGCGACGGCGGACGGGTGCATAATGTCCGCCCGGTTGGACGGTTCAGACGTCCGCATCATCCTCCAGGGCAAGCAGCTGTATACTCCAAAGCAACTTGTGGTTGAGGAGATCTCGCAAAAGCTGTACTTTTGCGACCGTGAGGGCATGTCCGTCCATCGGTGCAACTTTGACGGCCAAGCCCATGAAGTCCTTGTCAGCCGTGGGGCCTGCCCAAATGATCAATTGGATATGAAACGGTGGTGTGTGGGTATTGCTGTCGACATCCAAGCGGGAGTGCTGTACTGGACCCAGAAGGGCCCCTCAAAAGCAGGCCAAGGGCGTATTTTCAGGGCAAACATCGAAATCCCTGCCGCTGAATCTCCGGAGTCACGGACAGATATTGAGACACTGCTGGAAGACTTGCCCGAGCCGATTGATCTGGAGATCGACTCGAGAAAGAAAATTCTATACTGGACAGACCGCGGGGAGCATCCCAAGGGCTGCTCCTTGAATTCAGCAAGTGTGGATGGTGAAACAAGCCAAATACAAAAGAGTATTCTGGCCCGAAATTTCCATGAGCCCGTGGGATTGAAGCTCGACGCAGAACAGGAAAAGATATACCTGACGGATCTGGGAGGAAGCGTGTACCGCGTTAATCTTGACGGAAGTGGACAGGAGATTCTTGTTAGAGATGGGGGTTGCTATACTGGAATCTCGTTGGTGGGTAGCTTGTAGGTCGTCTTTCAGGAGGCAATAGGTAGTTAGTGTAGTGGGAGATCCAGTGACAATATTTGACTTTGGCCGTGTACGCCGTGTTTGCTTTGTGGATTGTTTGGCTAGATTGTTTGGCTAGATTGTTTGGCTAGTTTGTCTTGGCGGATTTCTGCGGAAATCGGGAGCCTTGCAGCTGGTCATAGTATGGGGAGACACGCAACTCATGAAGCTTTTTCCTCGAATATTTTGATTCCCTCTTTTCCCTTATCGTTTTCGGATCTATGCTGTCGAGCATGACGTTCCTTCCATTTTACTGCGGCGAGAGTCGAATCTACTGTCAGTAGCGTTCTTGGGCTCTAGTGATGCCAAAACCAGTTACCACGGACGCCCATAAGGCTGCGGCATTCTTGGTCCGCTGCGGTGGCATGACCTTCCGTATTTCCACACTGAGGGATTTGAGGATTCGGGCGTGTAAGACATCGTTGGTCACGTTCCAGAATTCCCGCTGCAATCTGGAGTAGGAGTTCGAAATTTGTTGTTGTCCCTCAATCAAAATGTTGTAAGAAGAGACATCCTGAACGTCAATTAAAGACGCATCGCTGAGAGTATTCGTCTTCCACGCAATGGAGTTGTGCATAGTGAGGGTTCGTTGGTTTGTGCTCCCAAAGGTCTTTGATGCTACGCCGTAGCTTCTGTAGCTCTCTCTCGATGAGAGTTTCTTCCCGGTCGACTGCGATTGGGGTCAGTATGTGGTCGATTCGAGGGTTGGGATCGTCTGTTCGGTCCTGCGCACTCATTGAAAGGTAAGTTGGTTCAGGGGCATCTCGAGGTGCCAATTGGGACTATGCATCGAGTCTGCGGCCCTGCTCTGCCTGGTTCTACATAAGAGCCGAAACACACTCGCAGTTAATTGTGTCAACATCGCCTTGATGTGTGAATTAGCCGTATTACGCCTCGGAGAAGCGGATGGGTCTCTCTCGTACCCAAGGTCTGTATCGTCACCCTCCGGGGGTGTGTCTGTGTATTGGGCCTTGCCCCCCTGAGACTGTCTTCCTCTCATCATCATGACTGCTATAGAAGCCTTCAACTGAAGTGCAAGACAGGGTGATCCAGATCTATTGAACAGACTGGTAATACCTCAAAAAATTGCAATATAGCACATAGGAATTGTCAATATAGGGCCATAACCTGTAAGAGTCGGGAAGCACACTGCGTTCCTATTGGGCGACTAACTCCTGTTGTGATACCAGGCACTTGCTGCTCAGGAATGAAGCCGCATTATCGGAAATAATCCCTGCTCTATGTATGGGAAGAACCAAGTTGATTTCCAATCAACCTGGACTTTATGTATATATACCCTCATGTATTCCCCCGAGAAGAACAATCAAATTTGTAACCATGGATCTGATCATTCTGCCAACTTCTCCTAAGCCCTAAACTCAATTCAGTGTCCGGTCTTCCAACCAACAATATTCCACCGTGCTTTGCTCATTGTCGTCGATAATTCAGTTTAGAGTTGTCGCAACATTACTTTGCCCATGTTATGTGCCTAGCATCCTCGCCAAGGGAACGCTTAAAATAGGCGCAACATTGTTCCGCCGCCAGATGTGTTCAATCGACCAGAAATTTATACTCTGTAGGGCTCGAGGTTTCTTAGCAGTTCCATTTAACCAAAGAGGCAATCGGTCTGAACCATTAGCATTAGTTGGTACATCGATAGAAATCGTAACATTATCCAATTTCTGATCAGCATGATCACCCGTCGATAGACCACCGTTTAGCATACGATGCCAGAAAGACCCTGTTTCGTTCAGATTATAGATATAATCAGGTGATATCGGTCGCATATTGCCTTGATCGGACTTATCTTGTCATATGTTGAGGTTAGGACGGATGCAGCTTTGCTGTCAAAGAAGTAATATCGTATCGAATCGCGTTGTTTAACCGCGATAACCAACCATCGGAGAAAATGTGGAGGATGATGCCGGGCGGCTGTTGTCAGATACCAAAATTAAGAAATATATGCTGGAGATAACTCTTGCATGACGGGACTCGTCTTCGGGTCCTTCCAGGGTTGGCCACGGTGCAGGGCACTGAATATCCGGAGACGGCAATGCATTGTACGACACATGTGGAATGTAAATATGATATTTATCCCCATGTCTAATGGTAAATATCGCAAATTAGCGGATACTCCGTCCTTTGCGTACTGGGCATCCAATTCTCCTCAATCCATCTTAGCAGGAATCCTCAATGCAACAGGAGGTAGAGCGCTGCTGCTAGTGATCAAGCTGTCTTCAGGCAATAGCAATGCTACATTTTTGTGTAATGGTCATCATCCCCCTTACATCCACTTGGGATTATAAGCCTTGGTTAATATCAAGTTTAATATTTGCACACCTTTGCAAATTTTGATGTCATCTGGAATTTTAAACTTGCCATTTGAATTGGAACACTGTGCAATATTCTAGAGTACTAATTGGACCAACGTACACTTTAAAAATAGACTTTGGTCAACCATCAGACTGTCGATGTGTCTTCGTATCCGTTGACTATAATGGCTGACGCCAAGATCCTCATGATTCATGGTACTTAATACTACCCTTGAGTAGACAAATGCGATGAATACTAAAATCTGCTGCCAGGAAATGGCCAATCTGGCCTCTTCTTCAAGTCTAAAACACGCTTCCTACACGGACCACTCGAGGAAGTCTTCTCGTCGTCCTTCACGAGGCTCACCTTCGTGTATCCTGATGGTCCTACCTCAGGACAAGACTTTCTTGAGAATACCGGCATGAATGATCCCTCCGAAGCACAGCAAAATGACTGCGAGGAGGAACAAGGACAAGATTGGCGACTCTGGGCCTATGGAGATCCCGATGGACGCTCTGTAGGCTTCGAACGCTCCCTGCGGCATATCGTCGATGTCCTCCACCGCGAGGGCCCTTTTATAGGCGTCATCGGATTCTCGGTTGGCGCTGCATTGGCCTCCATGATTGCCGCACTCTTGGAAGATAAACGTGTTGACGGCTTAGATTTGATGGTAATACCCTCTACTTAATTGCATTACTTTATGTTAATGTGCATTAGATTAATCATCCTCCTCTTTCCTTCGTCATTTGCTACGGCGGGTTCCGAATGAGAGGCAAATTCAAAGGTCTATACGAACCCAAGATTATAACCCCTTCACTGCATTTTACGGGTTTTTTCGACTCACACATCCCATCTGAGCTAACATGGAAGCTCGCCATGAGCTTCCTGCAGAGCGAGGTACAGTGTTTCACGGGCGCTCATTTTGTCCCAAGAGGGAAGAAGGAGGTCAAGGGGGTGATTCGGTTTCTAAAGGGTGTCCTCATGGAGGAACTGGGAGGATGTGAATTAAAATATCACAAAAGGATAGGATTATGAGTATGACATTGCCTTCTTATAATTGGGAGGTCCCCTAGTTTCAGTTCGTCCCCTATTCACAAAATTGGCTTTCTAGCCCATCGATTTCCAATGCTGTCTGTGTCAATGTCGACCAACGAGGATGCAGTCCCGGCAGTTTTATAAGGGTGTTTATCGTGTACCTCTGCAAAGAGGACATACTACCAGCCAGTATTGGCCTTTGTTTGGTTTCGTGAGGGAGTTGTCGCCCAACAAAACAATGATTCTAAGGTTTCAAGCAGAGGAAGTGAAAGTGGAGGCGGCAGTAAGCGTAAATATGGAACAAGGCATGGAATATCACGTACTACTTATGGAAACTTGCGAAGGATAGGTAGACCTCGTCTCCCTGGGTTGTGTCTGTATTTTTCTCATTCTCTACATAGGAGGGCCATTGGTCCTATTCTCAAGAATTCCTTACGCACGACGTATTATATTTGCATATAGGGCCCGATAGTTGAATCTGGGGTGGGCTAGTGGAGTGGGCTATGTATGCCCTGATGGGGCGGCGGATATCCAAGGAGCATCGCCTTATATCGTAAGGGTCCCACATCAACATAGGGGCGGAGAGCGTCTTCAGAATGAATAGTCAATACTACAAACAGCTATGATCAACTATAGACACAAGACGTAGCACGAGGCAGTAAAAGAAACGGTCCTCTCATTGTGAATGCTTCATCTATACCCATGACATACAGGGGGAAGGGCCTAGGGGTTGCTGGGAAATATCACCTGGATCTTAGAAGGCGCAGTCAGGGAAAGGTCCTACGTAAAAATTCGAGATCAGCTCACGCCTCAACGATTCCGAACCACGATCCGGGTCGAACTGTCAGCCTCCCATGCTGGCAACATTGTGAATTCGGGGACGTAAAAAGGTATGGTGTAAGCAGGAGGGATTACCCACTTGCAGGTAGGCTAGGCCAGTGCCGTTCAGGAAAAGAGGTTAGCAAATTGAATAGGAAAATGAACCAGTCCGGTGCCTCAGGACAAATATTATATACTAAAGCGGGAAAGCTCAGGGCAGCCCGGTCGGCACCGGCAAGTCGAGGCACGAGGGTAATTGAGTGACAAGGATGTAGGCAGGAGCAAATAAACAAACACCCAATAGTGAAGCTGCCGTGAGGGAGACGAGTCAGAATCAAGCCGGTAAACGCCCTACAATCTTCTTCGCGGATCCCGATCGAAGCGATCTCTAAAATCCCTGCTGATTTGAGTTACCTGCTTCCTTTCGGTTCGAGCATTTTTTACCACCTCCATGCCACGAGCGAACCGACCGGAAAGCTAGAACCTCGAGGGAAAATGGGACGCATAATCGGATACAATGGTGTCTCGATATACACTGTGTGGGATCCAGAGACTGGCCGCATTTTCAGCACTGGAGATATCCGGCCGGCAGGCGCAGCTATACAAACCCCACTTCAAGTGGGGAGCAAGTGACTAAACAAACGCCTGATTTGACGAGCTCTGAGGAGCTTACGGGCCCAATCACCGATGATGATTGGGTACGACCTGCGAAAGACCTCAAAGTCTTCGCAGCCATGACCAAAACATTTCTGTCGGCAGCTGATGCGCCTAGGCCTCAGCACGACCCGCGGGTGACCCTCACGACCCTGACCCTGACCCTTACTTTTGAGGGTCAAGGTCCAAAGAGTGCGACCCTCCGGGCGGGTCTCCCCTAGGTACGACTGTTGAGTTATAAGTGACGCTTCAATGTTTGTATAGTTGATAGGGATTAATTGTATTGTTCTAAGTACAAAGAGGCTGGTAGCAAGGTAGACCTATATACATGCACGTGCTCCCGTTCCCGTGACTACATCAGTGACCGTGATATTCAACACTCCCACTCGCTGATTTCCTTCGTCATAAAGGATGTCAGCGACACTTCATCACGGTTGCTAAGCCCCATTAAAACCCCCCCCAAAAAACCTGTGGTAAAAAGGAGGGAAAGGGTGCCTGCATGTTGCGTTTTTGGTTTGGTTTGAAAGCTGGTGCGCTATGAGAGTATCATTCAATGCCGAGACCCTTTCGAAACCATTCAAATCTGTTTCGGGCAAGGGGCTTCGTCAAACCATCAGCAATCTGTTCCATTGTTGGGACATATCTCAGTTCTACTGTCCCAGAGTCTTGAACTTCTCCTTGCTACTTTCGTTGGATTTCCATATGTTTGTACGCGAATAGTATTGAGGGTTCGAGGCCAGCGCAATGGCTCCCTGATTGTCGCCGCAAATAATTATTGCGCATTTTCCTTGGCTTATGTTCAGTTCGTGAAGGAGTCTCCTCAACCATATAGCTTCCTTAGCTGCTTATATCTGGCCAATGAATTCTGCTTCGCAGGTTAATAGGGCGACAGTGCTCTGCCGTTTCGACTGCTAGCTAATCGCTCCACTTCCGATGTTGAACAGGTATCCGGCCGTCGACCGTCTCGTTTGGCGACAGCCAGCCCAATCTAAATCTGTGAAACCACGAAGTATCTAAAGCGGGCCTTTGTATGTGAGGCTGAGAAATCTGGTGCCTTTAAGATACCGAAGAATACGTTGGCCGAGCTTTACGTGTTGTGGACCAGGGTTTGCCAAATATCTGCTTACCGCTAAGACAGCAAATACAATATCACCCCTAGTTCTAAGCATAATATACATCAGCGATCCGATCATACGCTGATACTTATTCTTCAGGCTTAAGGGGCAGACGTATTCGGGCCCGTTTTCTAGCAGAGGTGAAGTGTCTACAGGCGTGCTAACGGGTGCATAGTCTGATATACCAAATTACTAGAGGACCTTATGTACGTAAGCCTCTTAGCTAAGAAAGAGGATTCTATTCTGCCGGTCCCTCCGGATAGCCATACCGAGATAGTAGCTGCATAGTCCTAGGTCTGTTATGTGAAAGCGATTTTTGAGGCTTCGTTTGATCTTTTTTATCTCTGCAATGCTTAGCCCGACGATTAAGAGGTCATCAACATATACAGCAATATACATACTACTCCGAACAAAGATGCTGAGATCAGCGTTAATAGGCTCAAAGCTAAGGCCCCGAAGGAAGTTAGTAAGAGTCTGATACCAGATACGAGATACTTATGTTAGGCCGTAGAGTGCTTTACGGAGCTTACAGACCCTAGATATGCTATCCGTAGAGTAGTAGGGCTGTTTGATATAGATCTCGTGGTCGACCTCGCTGTATAAGAACGCTGTTTTGACATCCATCTGCTCGATCTCGAGATTAAGGGCTGCTATAATTACGAATAGAGCCTTGTAGCTTATCGGTTTGACCACCGAGGCGAAAGTTTCGTCATAATCGATACCCTCCTCTTAAGTGAAACCTCTAACCACCTATCTGTACTTATAGCGGACGATCTCTCCGCGAGCTCCTCTTTTCAGTTTAAAGATCCACTTCCCGCTTAGGACTTAGCGATCGTTAGGTAAGTTAACGAGTTCCTAAGTTTTGTTTTGCTTAAGCGATTGTATTTCTTCGGTTATTCCCTTTTCCTATTCGAGCCATCGTGGATTATTCTTAGCCTAACAAAGGGACTTTAGTTTAAAGGGTTCGGTCTCTTCCGTAGCTACAGCTAAGAAAGTTAGAATTATATTCTCGTTAGGGATATTCATTAATACAAGTTCTTCTTTATTATAATCAGATATATCCTAGGAGATTTGTGTTTCTCGGAGTTTGAGTTTAGGGTGACGTTCAAGTATACCTTGTAGCACAATATATTCTACACTACCCTCTCGAAGCTCAGAATAATTCAGCCAATCTTGTGGAATTCACCCCTGTTAAGTATCGCCTTGTTGCTAGTCACCGCCGAGTAGTAAGTTAATCTTCGGGACAGAATCCTCCAAAGAAGATAATAAGGACCCGAAGATATCGTCACTCGGTGTTAGTAAAAAGGTCCTTTCTCCTTGTCTAGTAGCAGTAGGCTGCGAGTTATTATTACTCGGCTGAGGTATATACTCTTGTACTTTGTCGTCCGATGATCTAGGCTGTATTTGCCCTTACGGCGCTAGGGAGGCTTGGCGTCCTAAGGCTAGCACGGATACATATCGCACATTTGCCGACGGTTAGTTTACTAGTCCTACTGTCTCACTCCCCCTTAAGGCAGCAGCCGTTGCCCTAGGTAAGCGCTGCTAATCGGCTCCTATATCTTCTATAGTCTGTGTGGAGGGTATGTTGAGGACTTTATAAAATTCTGCGTTTGGTGTACTAATGATCCTGCTGTCTTCTAGTAGGATGCGGTAGTTCGTATTTCCTTCGTATCCTAGTAGCAGACATCGCCTTGTTCTTAGTCCTGCCAACTTCTTTCTTTGTCTAGGTGGAATAAGGTACTCGCCCTTGGATCTAATAACTCTTAGCCGCGATAGGTCAGGCTTATCACCATACCAAGCTTAGTACGGAGTTATGTTACGTTTGGATGATGGTGATCGATTCGAGAGGAAGGCCGCCGTCCGCGCAATCTCCGGCTAGAACTTCGGCGGTAGTTTTGCATACGCGAGCGTTAGTCCGACTCGATCGTAGATTGTCCTATAGGCTCTTTCTGCTACTCCATTCTCTTAGTGCTAATCGACACCTATAACTTCGGCATGGATTGCCCTTAAGAAGAGGATAAACTCTATTTCTTCTCCCACCTGCTCAGGGATTCGGTCAAGACGAATTTGTCTGCATTTGCGCTCGGGGCGCTTATTATGATCGAGAAAATACCGTAAAGACTCAACAACGAATTCTTGGCGCTGTGGTATAGGGATAATCTCAACCTATCTAGTAAAGTCGTCGACAATGGTTATCCAGTAGCGGCTACTATCAAGGCCCTCCTCAAATGGCCCTGCAACATCGATATAGAGGAGTTCTATGGCATATTTGGATCTTGTGCTCACTTCTGAACGACGATAGGGGGCTTCGGTCATTCGTCCCTGGAGGCATAGGTTGCATAGTTAGCGTGGTGCAACGTCCTGAATACTATAGGCTTGTCTTTTGAGTCGTTGAATGTTTGCATCGCTTATATAGGCAAGCCTGTTGTGCTAAAGCGCCGATTGCGGTCTGAAGTGGTAAACCGGGAAAGCGGGTTTCGACCACAGGTCGAGTGCGTAAACTCTATAATATTGGCTTGCAGTGAACAGGTTCCCCCTATCTGACTTATTCCGAATCTTTGCGCCATTGCTTGATAAGTCAATATTTGCCCCTCGATTGAGAAGTTGCAACACAGATATAAGGTTTGCATAGGCGGTCGGGACGAACAAGACGTTATCTAGAACCAGCCACTTCTTTTTGCCTCGTACATTACACAGGATGTTTGCTACTCCTATGCCGGAAGGGGCCGTAGAGGTGTCGACGCTTAGTAGTGGGCTATCGTATTTATCTATCTTGACGAATCTCGAAGCGTTGTTGCAGACGTACTGGGCACATCCACTATCCACGATCCAGGCGTCACGGATTGAGAGAGCTTTCGTGACCATCAGACTAGGAATATAATTTAAGGTCGTAAAGTTCCCTTCGTCTTCCGTTCCGAACGCTTCATTGATGTCTTGTCTCGAGACTTGTGTCGCCATAAAGGTAGGTCTTTTAGGGTTCCTCGGCCCCTCAGAGTCGTCGTCTTCATTGTCTGTACTAGCACGCTCCTTAGGTGGCTTACTAGAGTTGGCGTTTACACCGCTGGACCTTGTCCTGCGAGCCTTTTTCTGTTTTTCTGGGTTCCTCAGATCGGGATTCTTCTCGAAGCATTCAGGCTCTATATAATAGGGCCTTCGACAGAAAACACAGAACGGGACATTATTTATCTCTATTCGGCATGTTTGTCCGTCTGAGGACGGTATGATCTTTTTGTTATCCCCAAAGCTTCGGCTCAGCGTGAAGGCAGGAAGCGCATTTGTGTCTACAGGGTTGTTACCCAGCTGTCCTTTTCGATGCTCCTCCTCGATAGCCTTGTTCTCAATATAGTCGAATGTGGGAGCGGCTTTGGTGATATTTCCTTCTTCATCTCTATCATTAACAATATCCATTTGTCTGAAAACATAGTCGCGGAAGCTCTCATATTCCGGACCTAGAGTATGCAAGAAAAAGAAGGTTCGTTCGATTTCAGACGTGACACAGGCGGGGTCAAGCAGGAGTTTTTCCGCATAGATCTTTCTGATCTCGGCGCCGAGGGCTTGTGCACTCCCACACTTTGCTCGGGTAAGAGACATATACCTTCGCTGAAGATTGACATATATCCCTAAGCCCTCTGGTTTAAAGTTTTCTTTAACCGCCTTGATCAGGGGTTGGACTCGAGTGATTTCGAAGGCGTTTATCCGCTAAGCCGCATTGTGGGTCAGCTTTGCCGTAATCATTAACGAATAGAATGTCTAGCGGTGGGACCAATACTGTGCCTCCTCCTCTTCCATAGGTAGGATCGGTCCATCTTTAGCCACTGGAGATATACGAAGAAACTCCTTAACCTTTTGGTTCCACTAAGCCCAGTCGTTAGTATTATCAAGAATTGGTATAGCATTGTAGAACAAGCTCAGGCCTATTTGTTCGAATTTATTCGAATCCACCCTGATAAGGGGACTCTTCGGTGCTAAAGAATTCAGCGCTTAAAGTGTCACTCGAGTAGATCGAAAGGACAGAAGGCGTGCATCTGAACAATTCGGGAGATCTTGGCTCGAGACCAAAGAGTTCCAGGCTCGAAGCCTTGCTTGGTTGACTGGAATAAACGGATTGGGAACGCTCTAACGACCTTGGGCTAGGTGTATACGACGGAGGAACGTATTCGCTATCTAGTAGCTCGTAGGGCTTCAGATATTGGCTGTACGATTCGAAGAAGTGAGGAAAACGGATGCGATCGACCACATATCGTGATTGTTGATCTGTGAAGGTTGAGGGTCTGTTTGGTCGGAGATTGTACCGGGCTTAGTTGTTGCCGGTCGAGGTCAAAACTGCATCGGTGTTTGTTGAGCTAGGATAACTTGGCCCTTGTTCCGGACTGGAGAGTGCGGCTTGAGCTTAACGTAGAGAGTTGTGCTCTGTAGTGTGGTGGCAATCGGCAATCACAGAGGCAACAGCGAGCGCCCGACGTGTTCGCTCTTCTGGAGGTAAATTTCTATAGGCTCCTCCGACCGAGTGTCGGGAGAGTGATGGGAAATTCGTCTTCTGGATTTGCGTAAAGCGCCAATGGCGGATGTTTCGAAGATAGCACACCAGACTGAGCTCTTCGTCAATCCAGTTGTGTCCCTTCTGTGATCCGTGTTTTCGTCTCATGAGATAGAACAAAAACTGCGTCCCGTGTCAAGGATATCGGGGGTTTGAGAAGGAAAAACTAGGGTAACGGTGTGCTACAGAAATCAGGTTATTGCCTGTGTATCTGGCGATGTGATGTGTCTGCGGCGGTGGGCCGGACGTTGTTTGTTGTGCAACATGACCGTAGGATATCATTGGTCTGACAATCATCTGGAGCGGTGTGATGGCTGTCGCGTATTTGTAACAGAGAGGTGAACCCCAGGATTGATTTGACGAATGCCCGTAGCGGTGTGGTGGTTGTTTCTGAGATTATTGCGATGATCCGCACAATTTATTTTCCTCTTGGACGTGAGAACCGTGTTTTCTCTGAAGTTCGAAGCAAGCTGTTCCAGTTCGGTCAATAGATGAAGCTATCACTTGTAGGGGAAACTTAGTAGGAGGTATTTTCCAGTTTGATGTGCGCAGTCTCGGGCTCATAACCTGTTGAGTTATAAGTGACGCTTCAATGTTTGTATAGTTGATAGGAATTGATTGTGTGTTCTGAGTACAAACAAGCTGGTAGCCAGGTAGACATATATACATGCACGTGCTCACGTTCCCGTGACTACATCAGTGACCGTGATATTCAACACCGCCCGTGGGTTCTTGGCGGGTACCCGTGGGTTACCCAAAATACCCAAAAACGTGGATAAATCGTGTATAAAACCAATTAGTCACCAGTCGTAATTTTGGTATTTTATTATTGTCACGCTTTTAGGTGTGTGTTACGTTTAAATACTGCTCCTTCGTTCTCCAAAAATATATATCTTAGGCATTGCTCTTGTTGCTTCCTAAAGTCTTTCTTCACCTTAAGGGATCAAGAACCTTATCGATTAACTTACGAGGATTGAATGAATTCTAAGCTCATTGCGTTGTATCTAGTCAATAATTGCAACCTCTCTACACTGAAAATTATGCATTGTGATGTTCTCAGCTTCCTAAAGTCGCACAGGTTTTGGGTTGGGTTGGGTTTTGGGTACCCGCGGGTTTACGCGACTCAAGAATAGATAGATCCAAACGCACGACGCGGCTCAAACAAAACCCACATTCGAGCACACAAGATGAAAAAATCTATCTTCAACTCTGATAGCGTAAACCATGAATATGGCCTCTTCTTCTTCCTCGTCATCGCGATCAATCCATCAGGCTTTCAGCCCCCTGCTCTCCATTGAGCCGTCGTCTGACGTTTTCTTAGACTCAGACATTCAATCTTCTGTATGAGAATAAACCCCTCCTTCGTGTGCCTGACTGGTACGAGAGTCTCCACAGGTATACTAAGATAGCCTTTAGCCTTTCACTGAATCCCGTCAGAGCTACGACATATCCTCTCGCAGACCTCCGGCGACGCTAAGACGCGTGGGACCTCAACGCAGAAAGAACTGGATTTTATACGAGTTGAATCTGGAGAGAGAATTCTTAGGATGGTGGGAAAAAAGTGAATACGGCCTCAAGTTAAACAGGGACGGTCAGTCCCAAATCAAATGGTCTACCGAGTCGCGTCACGCCGACGTTTGGAAACACTTTGACCAAGTAGCCGACGTCGATTCTGGGCGCCCACGAGTCCTCTGCAAAGCCTGTCTTACTCTGCTTGATCATCCACAGTACAAAGGAAATGGGACAAGTGCCATGAGTAGACACCAAAAGTCTAATTCTTGTCGCAAGGGAAAGAAGAGAGGGTCTCATCAAACTCTGATATCCGATTCGTTGCAAAACCATTCCATGAGAGAGTCACCCAATGTGCACAAGGTAACAACATTTCAACTTGAGGAGCAGCTGTTAAAGACCATCACTTGTCTTCGGTTGCCATTTCAAACAGTAGAGAACCCTGTGTTCCAGAGACTGCTCAACCTCGTATACTCAGGACCTGAGGTACTAAAACTTCCGTCAGCGAAAACCCTGCGAAGACGGCTCCGCGACGCAGTTACAGTTCAACAGGAATCGCAGTTGCGAGATCTGCCTAACGACGCTAAGGTATCACTCGCCTTGGATTGTTGGACCAGCCCATTCCAGCAAGCGTTTATGGCAATCACGGTTTATTTCATTGACAAAGATTGGAATTACCGGGAGATGCTTCTTGGCTTTGAACCGTTACACGGTCCTCACACCGGGAGCAACCTTAGTGATATTCTCCATCAGTTATTGACGGAACGCGGACTCTTGGATCGCATCTTTAGCGTCACTACAGATAATGCGACCAACAACGAGACATTGATCCGCGCTTTGCAAGAGAAGTTGATATCCGCTGGTGCAATCGGCTCCAGGGAATCCATAATCCGGGTTCCTTGTATGGCCCATGTGATCCAACTTTGTCTAAAACAGCTTTTAGGGCATATCAAAGCAGCGCCCAAGAATAAAGAGGTAAAGACTTTTTGGTCCGATACTCAAGCCATCGGTTTGAGAGACTCGGTGAATCACGGAGATGTGGCTCATACCCTGACAAAGGTGAGCTTGAAGTTTTCATGGACAATTGAGATCCGGATGGAGTACTCATAGAGACAGATTCGATCCTTTGCGGTATTCGTCAATGCAAGCCCACAACGGCGAGACGCATTTCTATGTCTTCAATCAGGCGGTGCCCGGCTGTTTCCTTTGCATGATGTTCAAACACGCTGGAATTCCACGTTTTTGATGCTTCGCCGCGCGCGTCGACTAAGGAACATCATCGATAAATACTGCTGTGACCATGAATACTCGCAGTTCAAGATCACCGACGTTGAATGGCGGCAGGTTGACTACCTAGTCCACTTGACTAAGCCGTTCTTTCAATTCACTATGGCTCTGATGAAGACTAAAGACGTTACGATTCACAGCGTATTTCTTGTGTATAGGAAACTTCTGGAGCACATTGAACGGTCAAATCGAAAATTGAAGAGAAAGTCAACTCCTTGGAAGAAAGACATGTATAGCGCTCTGCTTAGTGCGAAGCAAAAGCTGAGAGAGTACTATGAGAAGACCTATCGTGACCACGGCTTTCTCTATGGTACAGGAGCTCTTCTTGCTCCCCAATACAAATTATCTGCCTTTGACGATAGGGACTATTCTACTTGCCACGAAGATACATCAAAAAGGTACTGTGAGTACCTAAGGACGTGTTTCACGCAATATCAGCAACAACACCCCGAGCTATTGTTTCGTACAGTGCATCGCTCGTCCGCACTGCATAGCTCTGAACTTGATCGGCTACTTGTGCCAATTGATGATTCTATACTCCACGAAGGAGCAGAGCATGATGAGGTCGATCAGTACCTCCGGGAAGGTACGAGGCAACGGGCATGCTGCACTGGGACAACTAACTGATTTCCGCAGCAAATGTTCCGATTCCACCACGGCTCTACTGGAGAGAACACGAGCGTGAATTCCCTGTACTTTCTCGGCTTGCACGCGACTTGCTCTCGGTCCCGGCCACGGGCGCGGGCGTTGAAAGGCTTTTCAACAGCGCCCGAGATATCTGTCATTATCGTCGAGGATCTCTTCATGAAGCAACTATTCAGGACTTGATGATGTATATGTGCTCAGAACGATTCACACTGGAGGGAGAGCAGTTAACTCGCCTGGAAAAGCCGATGGAGGGCGAGAGTCAAGAGGAACTTGAAGAGGGAGAAGCGTTGAAAGCAAATGAAGAGGACGCTGAGCCGATCAGCGATGATGAAGAGGTCGAAGAAAGTGAGGACTTCGAGCGCAATATTGAGCCAGAGGGGTCACACCAGGTAGAAACTATACTGGTAGAGGGTGATCAGTTCTTAATGCACAGCCAGACATACGATGTGGAGGAAGACGAAGAGCAACAGGAGGAGGAGGGCGAGGAGGCAACTGAAGATGAAACAGATTTGCTTCCACCTCCAATAACGCAACTGGGTGATAGAAGTCAGAAGAGATCCTCTGGTAGAGCCACGATGCCCTCGAGTCGGCTGCGTGGGTACGAACTATACTAATCTTCGTCGTGAGACAATATCATTTCTGTTACTTGAAGTATTTGTTCCCAACCCCTTCATTGAAGATCATACAATGGCTATACCGTTATGTAATTAAAATTTACTGCACAATTTAATGTAAAATGAGGTGTCAACTTGTTTTGCTTTTTTGGGTTATACGGGGTACCCATTTGGGTCTTGGGTTGGGTTTCCTTGTTAACAACCCGCCCATGGGTCTGCTGACTAAGACCCAACCCAGCCCATGGGTTGGGTTCTCGTGGGCGGGTTTGGGCGGTGGGCGGGTTTTGGCGAGGTCTACTCGGAATAACTGCTAGAGGATCATCGGATGCAGCAAGAGGATATCAACGAGCCTGAATTGCTATAAAGCCCCTAAATGGTAATTTATGTGGGCATAATAATGAATAACCCAAATAAGTAACTATTTAAGGTAACTAGTATCTCTGTTCTCCGGTCTCCACTGCTGCTGCTGTTCCGACAGCTTTTGTTGTGATACCTGGCACTTGCTGCTCAGGAATGAAGCCGCAACATCGGAAATAATTCCTGCTCTATGTATAGGAAGAACCAAGTTGATTTCCAATCAACTTGGACTTCATGCTGTATATATAGCCTCATGTATTCCCTCAAGAAGAACAAATTAAGCTTCCTTTTGAACTACAACAGCTTTGAGTCGGAAATACTGGTCAGTGGAGCATTGGTTGCACCAATAGGATATCAAGAAGTCTGAATCGCAATTACCCTCTGCTCGACGAAGATACGTACCTCGGCCGGATCAAGGTGAGCCAACAAGACGGAACAACAAGAAGCCCTTATGACTAAGAAGATGCCCATGGAGCATTTTTGGTCTAGCGGTATTATGCCTTAGATTGTGCGACACACCATCTTAAGGGTTCTGATCGGGACATGTATTGCATCACGTGATGAAGGGTGGTTATACCTTTTACCCAGATTAAATCGGTGCGCAATAGACAAGATGAGAAGCTGGCTGGGATATTGGGCGAGATGGTGGGCTTCTCACCCCTAAGCAAGAACAACCACCACAAGGGACCCCTCTTAGCTGAGCTCAAACACAGCATCATTGGTTCAACACAATTTGCCTGAGACCACGGATCCGTTGGCACTTACATTGCAACCAAATTTTAGTCTAGTATCGGCTACATCAGCGGGCTGCCTGAGTTTGATATTGCACCGTGTAGGTCAATCATATCTCTCTCTACTCCGTAGTTGTAGTCTGATTGAATATTTCGCTGTCGGTGGTTGGTTGACAGTATGATCTACGCTGTACTTGGATCCTGGTGTGACGGTATTGCTCGTATTGACCCGATCGACGGTGGCTTTGGTGGATTCCCCTACTAGGACGGATTGTCAATTTATGCGTCACGCCATTGGGTAGATCATTTCGATTTTATTACGGTTAAACATCTTCCAAACTAAGAATTATGGGAACTACGTGCCAAGCTATTTCCACTTAACCTCGCTGTTAGATCCAACAAACTATCGACCAGGTCTATGATGTTCCCTAGGTTTGGATTTGACAGCAGTTTGTATGATCCTCTAAGCATCATTTCTCCACGGATCAGAAGTTTGACAACGTAATATGCTTAAAATGTCCAACTCCAATAACGATGATTTCTACTAAGACTCAGGTTACTATTCTTTCTTGGATAGCAAGGCCGGTCCGCACCAGAAACATCTTGCCCTTTTCCGGCCTGTCACCAATCCCCTCAAATAACGGCAGAATTGGGATCTTGCTTTTAGACATTGTGAAAGCGGAAGCAATCTAGGCCAAATGCCATCAAGTTATATGATTTCCTTGGACTTCAGGTGCTCTCATGACTAGCTTGATTGAAGGCAGTTTCTGAAGCCGTCAAATGAAACTCGATCAGCTCAATCGGTATGAGACCTAAAATTTAGGAGGAACTCAAAAACTGCCGAATTTTTTGGACCGGCGCAGAATCTTTGGAGGGACAGCTGAGGATCGGCACTATGGAACATCTGTAACCATTCCCGGTACGAACGAGAGAATGTATTCAAGCTTGCAACCATGTGAAGATCTAGTAGATTCAAGAATGGCGATGCGTATTCGCCCTTTGCAGGATTCACGAAATCATGGACAAGGATTTTCGAGATCCCCGGTTTCATAGCTTTCGTTATATGCCTTATTACAGTGGCGCAGTCACTGTAATGCAGATCATGGATTATGTGTTAGCCTGAGTTTCTTATCTGCTGGCTCTAACGGAATGTTTCATACTCGTTTGTGTTGTCCATCAAGACATGGCTGAGAAGGTAGATATCTGCCCCTTTCACTTGCTGAGGAGAGTACATATCTTGTAGCTGCCATTGTATTCTTCCCGCTATGGCTGCAGGGACGGTACCTTGGGCGCTCTGAATCACACTTGTGTGGTCTTGCACAACAAAACGCATGCCAGGGAACTTGGCGGCCAGTCGCAACGAGTGTTGTCCATTTCCGCCCCCAACATCAACAACTAACGAATTGCGGTTCAAAGTGCTGAATGGGAAGATAGTTTCAATTGGTTCATCAAGGGGTGTGTTGTAATGTCCTGCCATCGCATCGGCGAAACGACGTCCCCGTTTCTGATCAACGGTGTGGTAGTAATCGTACAGTGTTTTATCAGCTGGATGAATAGTCAGTAAAGACGTAAGAACTATTCACCATTTCTGATTTGATAAAATACTTTGGAATGCAAGTTGAAACGCCGAAAGGCGCCGATCACTTGGGATCTGTAGGTTGTTCTCCAAAGTGCTCTGCGCTAAGTGAGCCCCACACAGAAGCCCATCGTCGACCCTGTATAGTCAGAAACCAGATGTTATGTAGAGAAGAATATTTTTCAAACCGTACGTACAGATAATGCATCAGGGAAGCAAACTCATGATGGAGAAGACACATCGAGCGGTTGTTGTGGCGGTATAGTTCTGGCTCGACTTCTTCGAAGATCGATCGTTTCACACATTGCCGCATTATCCTTTCTGCAAAGGCCAGTCAGTGTTATGTTGATATCTACCCTTAAATTATCCTTACTGATCAGATCAATTGAACCACCTGTAATATCTGCCAATTGAGCGAGCGAGGTTTGGCTGTCTCCCGCTTGAATGTGGCGGTGGATATTCATCTCCAAGACTATAGAGAGAGCCACAGAATCCATGTAACCCCATGCAACCTGCGCTAGCCACTCATGAGGCTCAGTCAGAAGAGCTTCCAGCTCTCGACACGCATCAGAAACAGCTTGTGTCATTTTTTCCAGTTCGCCGCTCGTTAGATCAGGCTTTGAACCCAACTGAAGCTCGGAAACTTGGGTAGCATTCTGTGCGATGAATAATGATAGAGCTTTAATTCTGTCACTAGTTCCGTTCTTGTGCGACATATTGCTGATGACCAAAACTCTTGATAATACGCCAGGATAACTGTACAAGCGCGGCTTTAAGTAGTTATCCCTCTACTATGTGCCCTTTGAGCCAGAGTTCTAGGTTACTCCAAGAGGTATGAGCTTCTTGCGTTTTGATGAAATGTCTTCTGCATGTCAACTGCACCTATATATGCGGCCGAGTCCATATATTTGCCGCTAAAATAATTAACGTATATTGACCCATTTGTATCTCATTTACCGGAATAATAGCACGTATTCATTGCGGAAAATGAACATCTTGTGAACGATTTCATTGACGAGGCGCTATTGAATTGTAAACACATGGGCATCTGTAATCAGAAAATGGATGGCCCTCGCTTCGAAACTTTGCCATTAAGATAAGCAGTGTTATCTGGCACCGTGCATTGAAATTACAATCCTAGCATCATAAATATATTTTGAACGGATTTTCATGCATATTTTGACTAGTTCCCTTAGCGCGACAAGAAATAATAAGCAAAAAAGGCAATAGATCGCTTTGTAAACTTCGAGGCGCAGCCGTGTAACATGTAGATCTTTCTCAGTGTAAAATTTTCATGACCCAAAAGCCCAATCCTTCGGCCGATCAGGCTTGTCAACGCCCAATATATTCGTCGACATGTATGCACGCCGCTTGGACCATGAAGATTTTGGGGCGGTGGGTGGTGTGAATATGCGTGTCTCAGTGGGTGGTCATGTGTCACTATGACTTTGTCATTTTGAGCACGCCGCTTAGTTTGCACACATTTTGCCTTCGAAAATACCAGCTAGAAAGTTCACTTACGGAAGACGTAGAGTAGCTCGTTCGTTCATTACCAAACACAAACAACCCTGCCCACGTGCCTATTATTATCTAATATCCAGCCGGTCAAAGGAAACCTCTCACATTTATTCAACTCTACCAGGTCTAAGTGCATTATAGCAGTTAGGCAGTGAACAAGATGCAGAAGGGCGTTAATTAGGGATGTCTGAACTTATGAGTAGTCACATGTGTATACTCTGCATATCAAATACGTCCTTCGTTCAATGTTTGGCAACTCGCATACAGATGTTAAAGTGGCGCGGCTGATGTTCTATCCATTGCATGCAATATGTGCTAGCTTTTCAATAATAGCGTCGTCCGCGCAGCGATCCGCAACTTACCTACCTAATGTGCCCTATATGTATCGTGACCTCCTTGCATATGAACAGGGGAGTGAAGAGCCCTTACCTTTTAGCCATCAATGGTGCCAGTTATTCCCAAGTCCCGATGAGAATATGGACATGAAGCGTTGTACAGGACCATAGGATTTGACATCGATTATTACCAGACTCAGACAAGACTGGATTTTGCTTGCCCCCTTACCCGGACCGTGCCACTCCACTTTATCCAATATTGTTGCTACTTTAGCAATATAAATTAGAAGGCCAGACAAGGTTTTTATGCAACACCACAGCTTCACAAGACGGCTCTGCCTCAGGTATTATTAAAAAGAATCCCCGAAGGCAATTTTAATATTGTGACAAAAAATGGATTTATCGTTGTTTAACGCCATTTTCCTCGTTCTGCAGTTCATTCTTTGTTTGCTGGTCTACGTTATTATCTCCAGGCTCTTTTTCCACCCGCTTGCATCAATACCGGGACCTTGTCTTGCCGCAATCACCAGTCTATATCGCTTTTATTATTGTGTGGTTCGAGGAGGGGAGATGATCGATCATTTAAAGTATCTGCACAAGGTCTATGGTCAGTGACTCAATGGAAATTATATGGCTCTCTGAGGTATAGGTACTCACTGATTAAGCAGGCCCCAGAGTCCGAACAGGCCCAAATGAGGTAGATTAAAAACCGAATGGATGTTTAAATTTTCGGAATTTGATATCTATAGATTCATTTTGCCGATCCGCACGCGTATTTCGACATATATCATTCTCGAAGCACTTCCAAAGATACAGATTTCTACAGCGCTTTTTTTGTTCCACATGGGACACTTGCAACGTCAAATCATACGGAGGCAAAAGAACATAGAAAACCACTCCTGCGACTGTTCTCCCGCAAGCAAACCCTTCTCAAGGAGGTGAAAATTATGTCTAAGGTGAGCTAATGATTGATTCGCGTGATTGTGCCTCATTGACATCACGTTTTAAAACCATCTTCACAGGCTGGAAGGCTTTGCGATTTATTAAACATCTCTAGTTCTCAGAAGGAATCAGTTGACATTTACATGGCATTCAGATGTTTTGCCTGTGATGTTACTACGGAATATGTATTCGGGTTTACTTTTGGCTCTTTGGAAAGTCCAAGATTCCAGTGTCCGACATTAAAGGGCCTAGACAACATCCTCGCAGGGTTTTGGATGCAGAAGCACCTGACCTGGCTACGATTCTTAACTAATCTATTGAGTCCATGGAGTTTACGTATCCTATACCCGCAGAGCCAAGTTTTGTTTAATAAAGTGTTTGTGCGTGAGATGAGTTATCCTGGCTGTGGAGAAGGTGTTGACCTCTGTCCTCTTTTCAGTATCTGCAAACTCTGCTCGATGAATTTTTACGCGGGGCCGAAGGGAGCGAGTCCCAAGAAAACCTTCATGTCCCGTTATTCGAGGCTCTGACTGCCCCCGAGGGGCCTCATCGTGTCCCCTTACAAGGCTATACGTCTATAGTCTCCGAATCTTTCACCATGATGTTCTCGGCGGCATTCACAATCGGAACAACGCTCACTGTTGCCACCTACTACGCTATGCGTGACAAGAGAGTTTTAGCCCATTTACAAGCAGAAATAGCAGAGGTATGGCCAAGTACTAGGCAGGAATGCCCTTCTTGGTCTGTCTTAGAAAAGCTACCGTACCTTGTGAGTGCTGATTTGCGGGGACATGGTTCGATGCAGGTGTTTCCAAAGCTAACCCTAAATACAGAGTGCTGTGATAAAAGAAACATTTCGCATGACTGGAGGTGTTTTATCAGAGTGACATCGACCTATAATTCTGTGTATAAACTATATGCCGAGTACTGACAATGTTCAGTATTCCTCGTATCACGCCTCTCGATGGAATGACAATAGGCGGGTGTTACCTTCCGCAAGGGGTAAGTCACCACAGTTTTCACTGTGTGAAATTGGTATTGTTATACTGAAGTTACATAGACAACGGTATCGAGCAGTAACTATTTTCCTAACCATGACCGAGAAACCTTCGATAATCCGGACTCGTTCTACCCGGAGAGATGGACCAGAGGTGACAAAAAAATGCAAAAGTGGGAGCTAGCTTTTTCAGTCGGACCACGGCAATGCCCTGCAATCAGGTGAGAGCGGCTATTGTGCTTTAATACTTAGCTTTGCAAAGGGGCCCTAAACTCAATTTATTTTTCCGACTTGCTGACTTGTTTTACGTGGAGTCACACAATGGCTCCTTTATACATATGCCTTGCTCACATTATTCGACTGTTCGAGTTGGACTATCCTGATAAAGGGCAAGCAATACATTCTCCTAGCCCCAGACTCGGTGCTGACTGAAATATTTGTGACAGTCATCTTCAATACAAGGATTACTTTGTCCCACTAATTAGCGGGCCTCACCTACAAGCCCGGATTAGAACGAGGTTATGAAATGAGGGAATTTGGGGCTAAATTTTGAGATGACGGAGTAGTAGGCAACATGCATCAAGCTGCAAATCCATCAGACATGATACGTACTCTCTAATGGATTCATGGCATTAATTAATCAAACGAAAGTCATCGCATCCGGCGCGATATGAAGACTGGCTTGGGAAGCGATACGAGATCAATCCAGGCAAAATCGGGCCTTGCGCAACCAGGTCAGGAATCTATTGGTTCGTTAAATTAGCCACAAAATGACTACCATTCATTGGCTAAATCTCACAATCATTAGAGGATTTGCGTATAGCCTGCCGTGTAAAGGTCGCTTTGTGAATCGGATGGATGGTGTGTAAGAGGTCAGATTAGCCCACTCGCTCGCCCGCAGAGATTGATCTGGTATAGCATAGAGTATATAAATTATAAATTTGGAAAACTTCACTCACTAACAACTTCTTCAGAGGACTGCACAGAAAGAGGCCTTTTGATCGTGTAGCAAACAGAAATATTTAACTAATCCTAATCTAGTAAACAGTAAGCCGTTTTTGGTTTAAAGTAGCCATCCACCTTCCTTAGTTTCTTTCCATCAAAGTCGAGAAAAAGCTGACCTATCCTCTCTATATCATGGAGATCTCTCGGTAATACCCTGTTGTTGCTGAGCAAAATGAAGAGCTTTATACCATACACCGAGACCTTTTGGAGGTCAAATCCTTATCAAGGTCTTGTACTAAAGTTTTCTTGTTTTTTTTGCGTTTGCGTGATGGTGTCGGATCATTTGCATCATCGCCAAATATCATACTCTCGAAATCTGGGTAACTGTAATTACGGTGGGGGGCAGCTCGAGGGCGTGAGCTACCTGACCCAAGGTTCGGTGGTTCCTCCTCGTCGGCTTTGATAATTGAATTTGAATAACTTGATATTGTTTGTGTGGGAGAGGGAAGAGGCGAAGTAATTGGGAGGAAGAAAGGAAATATGAGACAACAATGACATCGGGGTGAAAGGAGACCCTTTATATACCTGAGAGCTAACTGGGACAGTGTTATCCCAGAAAAGGACTAGACATCAGTACCGTCACAGTGTATACGTATCTATGCAGGAAAGCCTTCTCACTTAAGCGAGTGAAAACACGTCCAGGAAGACTGAGAAAAGAGGGTTACTATCACCTTCATCCTTCCTTTACTTTATGACTTATTGGTGACTCTCGTCTAACAACAAAATTTAATTCAACTCTATCAGAAGAGGGGATATTGATGACTCTATTCCCTATTGAAAAGTATGGACGTACCTACCAGACAACCGTCTCTTGTGCAATATTGCACTCTTCCATTAGGCTCGGACCAATGACCCAGGTCTACGGTTGGATTCCCCTTGGATCTTTTTCTTGTGAATCAGTACGGTCAAGGCAGGAGTGCTCTTCAATTGAAGTCATCAATTGCATCCAACTACAGTATTTACATATAAGCACTGCTCCCTCCAGCCACTCGGTGTTTGTGGCTCCCAAACCAGAGAGATCTAATCCGGTTGCTCTATTCACTTCTGAGTTACCACCTCAGCAGGGCTATGGTACGTTTGTGGGCCCATTTAGGCGAATGACCGATCGAACTAGCCAGTCTCTTTGCCAAGTAGCTGTGTGGCTTCCACATGAAGGAATCAGCGTTGATTAATTGGCGCCCCGACTGGAAGTGGCGGGCTGCCAGTCAGCTGCACGAGGATCCGCGAGAAGAACGGAACGTGCCCAGGTTGTCTATTGGGAACGATCATGAAGAAAATCTCAAGTACTATAGTTTCTACCCTGTCCGCGCTAGCTTTCTGGTGCCACTCTCCGAGATGGGATAATTCACCGTCAATGGACGGGATACGGCATAGCCCCAACGAAGCCAGCCCGACGTTGTCTGGACTTCAATCCGCTTTCGCATCTACATTGTACCGCCAACTTTCCAATTAATGGCTCTGCAAGCCATCGACGAGGTTTTTCTCCTACGTAAAGCACGGACCAATGAGCCCCTGTCCACCGCCCACTTCGCATGATCGCCAGTCTTGGTGGAAATAAACTGGCAAGACGTGTAAGATGTACATCCTACCATTACGCCGATTCTCCCAAGTCTGAGGTCACCAAAAGTACCCTCTTTATTCCCTAAGACGTTTCTTAGAGCAGTCCTGCCCTCAGTAGTGCACTTTTACGCCCAAAATTGGGATCACCAGGTCGGTTTCTCTCACGAATGTGGGGGGTCTCTCTTTGCCTATCAGGTCTGTCGGGAGCTTTTTTTGAACGGCTAACGAAGAAATAAAGTAGTTGATTGGTGCGTTTCTGAGAAACAACGCAATTTGGTCTAGGATAGGAAAATCAGATTGTGGCAGAGCTGCAGTTCAGCTGATATAAACAGCGGCAAATTCAAAATATTTGAGCAATGGCTTTAAAATATCATGTCTTCTAATCAACCAGAGCCCCAAGTACTTACTAGCCTTATCTCATAATACCTCAAAGTCATTCATAAAAAGACAGGCACAGCCAACCAAGACAAAGAAGCAATCCTTGCCCCGTATATGACCCAAAATTTCTTACTTAACCTCATCATCAAGCCCAGATTTCCTCTTTTTAGGCGATTCACGTCGAGGCCGCCAGCAGTGGGTATCAATGAGATGATATGTCAATTCCTCCGTGCTTCCAAAATCCAGCAAGTAAGCAGGATGTTCACACTTGAAGCTGTCATTCAATTAGCTCAAATGGGCTTCAACGTGATTATGCCATTCTGGGGGGCTGATAAAAAATTGAACCATTCTTTTCGATGGACATAGTTTCTCGTTTCCCAAGCAGAACGGACAAAATCCCGCCTTGATGGGGGCATTGCGGAACATCAACGGGTCGCATCGAAGAAGTGCCTCTGGATGATCAAGATGCTCTCTGCAATGGTCCTCCCATTCCCAAGTGTAGCAAACTCTAAAAACCCGTACTTCAACGACTGTTGAATTACCTCACCCAAATCTCAAATATTCATAGTCACTATCTTCTTGGGGCCATAGCAATAATACAGTGGCCTCAAAGAAATGATGGCGGAGACCTATGTTCCAGATTTTCGCTCAACCCTTCTTTCTACCCATACTCAACCATGTCATTGGAAATCACCAGGCACAGTATGAAAGAGACCATATATTGGAGATGACGGGCTTCAGACCTGACGCCAATGTAACCAAATCAAACATTTTTGTCCAAGGTCGGCTCCAACCTGTGGATTCAGAAGAATCGAAGGATTAGCTAGCTGGCAACAAGGAAATCATCTCGATTCCTGAAGTGAATAGTTCATCTAGTACCTATGAAAAGATGAGAAGCCTAACTGTTATAACCAAATTTACTCAACTGGCAATCAAGACCTTGTGGGAACGTTGATGTTGATGTTGATGTTGATATTGATGTTGAACGTTTCAACGTGCATTTCGATACTTGCACGTTCTGACAATTGAAATTTCTAACTTTGCCGCATACTTTGTTTTAGATTTACTCCCAACGCTCACCATGTTAGTAAACAGAGAATTGTTGGTTAATGAAAACAATCCAGATAACAAAGCATTACATCCCAGTCTACGAAGTATGACATCGAGAGCAAAGAAAAATGACTACCTCGCTCTAGGTAAAGGCACTTATATTACATCAAAAGTCACAATCTATCATTTCTGACAGTCTGATCTAGGCTTGAATTCTATCAAGGCTTGCCAGCCTTCAGTCGCCTATACTACGCCTCGTTGATGCCTAGGAAGATCATCACTTGGCAGTCAAAAGACCACCACAGCAGAAAATGAAGATCGATGATCAAGGTGTGCCCAAAGTAGTGTACCACGACCTGATGTACCAAGCTTATTCCAGGCCAGATTATATTGACCTTCCCGAGTTTTGGTCCACCTCATCCGACATACCAGCAACGCCACCCCTCCTGGCCACAGAATATGATGATCTTCCGCTAGATTCATTTCTCGAAGGCCAACCCATTGATTCTGGTGGCTCGCTACCACCTCCAATGGAGTGTCTCCTTTTTCCTGATCCCGGGAATCTGCAATCGGGGTTCAACTGGCCTGGCCCAGATCCCCTTTTCGCTAACACTCAATCTGAAGACGTATTGGTCTACATGTCAGCCTCCATCCCAACCAGGCTACTACATTGGGTGGATATATGTCTCACCGAACTGGATCAGATGACGGATCAGACAATTGAGAAGTATCGCTTCCATCTGTCTTCGACCGCAAATGGCAGGGAGGACCTCTACTGGGTGCGCAGACAAATTCTGGATATCATCTCCGGGACGAGGGTTAAACAGCGAAGCCTCTTCCGATTGTCTTTACGACCGCGCACGGAGCTATCCACACGCTTCCCAGACCCAGCATGCCCTTTACACACAACGCAGCCCTCGGCAACATGCTTGGATCCAGATGTCTTCGTACAGAACTTGACAGATAACAGATGGCCTCTCTGGTAAACCAATGAAAAGGTTCAATGTCACTGCGTGGTCGTTTTACGCCTGGTGAAGCAAGGTGCTTTTTAAAGAAGATTATCTCATGCGGGAGACTTGCTTTACAGCAATATGGCGGCGTATCCTCCTGCTAACGAAAACCGACCTTGCATGGCGGGAAAACCCTGGTAGTAATAGATTCCCATCTTTGGTTCCCGTTCCTAAGCCAGATCTGGAGAAGGCTGGAGATTATTCGCGAATCCTATTTGCAATCGAGCTGCCCACATATATGGTGGAACTGAGGGGAGGACGGGATTTTCTTAGGATAGTTGAGACGCCTAGAAGGATGCGTGATGAATCCTAGCTTCCATTCTGCGTTCCTGGGGTCAACAGGCCTACTATGTGCGACAATATACTCTAATCTGCGAAGAAGCATTTAGTTAATGCAGTTCTAGAACACCCCCGATGTACACACTACCTTTTGTATATAGTGTATAGGTCGTTCTGTGTGGAGCCACGAAGCTCCTCCCTTATGTGTTGCCTGAAAGTCATAGACATTTTCCTTGTTCACGTAAAAACTCATTTGTGAGGCCACCACTTTGCAAGCTTATTCCGGTTACCTGTAAATAAAGTACAAAGGTACATACTGAGCGATTTTCGAACGCATGTTGACTCGATATTGTGCGGACACCAGAAAAGCAGTGGACAAACGCCTATTGCATCACCTGAAAAACAAGAGCCACGCCGTCAACGGTGAGTGGCAACTCCAAACCATTGAGGGGGTGAAACGTCGTCCTGGCAACTACATTAAATCTCAAGGAAGTGAGGACATGCTCCTCTTCATAAAACTGTTCGTGTATAATAGAGCAATTACCGTTGCTCAACATCTGCAACAGGGTTCGTGTTTCAAGGTGAAAGCCAACTTATAAACAGGGTTACTCTTCTACAGCCAACTCTTCCTGAAACCAACTCATCTCAATTACCTACCCGATATTCAAAGTATGACAACCCATCATGACACCGACACCAGCGAAAATGATGGTCCGATGGCTCAGGCAAACTAGCAGCTTCAACGCGAGCTGCTCCAGAGTCAGAAAGCCACTCTTCTTACATACCGAGCCCCTCGACGCATGGTGCCTCTCGGCATCTACCCCGGCTACGTCAAAGACTGGACGCCAGCGGATGCTTTTCGAGGATTGTATCAGAATTGGTAGGTGCCATTCTCTTCCGCAGGACAAACGCTAATAAACACAGGAAGGATGCCATCATCGAAAGATTCAATCTTGACCGCCAGAGCTTCCTGCCATTCTTGGAAGACCACGGCGATCGTCTCTCTATCGTTGTTCCCGACCAACACCTTGCCGACTGGTTCTCTCTCTAAATCGCTACAACGTGAGTATCGCCGCGAGTGGTTGCAATTGGAGGTTTTACATGCACACAGACGCTGCTTCAGTTTTCTGTACGGTCGCACCATCTGAAAAAACCAAGTCGATCGAGTGGACCGAACCCGCCCTAGATATGGCAAGCCTACGTTATCATGTGTGGAGGGACGTGGCAGTGGTGATCGGCGCGACGCGGGCCAAGTCCAGCCGACCGGTGGCACCAGACGCGTTTTTGAATTGGCTCCGCTTGGCGACGATCGACATTCGTAGGCTCACCTGCCCTTCCAGCAACATTACCACTGCGCATGGTGACTTGATCCTTGATCCCCAGCTGCGAGGTCAGCTCTATCACAATGGGATCCCCTTGACCAGTTTCAGCCTACGCGGCGCATTCCTCTTCGCGTACAATTTTGCCTCATTGGCCACCTGCCACGACCGTCACAGACCAAAATCCTGGCGCGCTATGACTCGTCAAGTGCGACAGATATGGGAGGAAGCTCTAGGTAAGCAGAAAGATACCGTCCTGCCTCTACTTGTCGATCTGTTGTGGAAGCGTCCGCATTCCGCGGAGGTCGAAATGATAGGCCCTCGTTTAGAGCCATTGGCGTGGCATCGGATCTGGCAATACCTGCCTGCTGTGCGAGTCAGCGGATAAAAATTCTTTTACAGCGAGAGAAGCAATGAACAGGCATGTGCTTGCGGTTCACACCTTGTCACATTTGGATAGCTGATGCAGACAGACCACGAACACCATCCGTGATAGCCTTGGCAAGCGCCCGGCCCGCCTGCCGGACACGCTGTGACAGATGCTGCGTGCCCACTGCCCCATCCGAACCGTCGAAGAGGAGCAGCAAGAGCAGTTCAAAGATGCAAAGCCCTGCATCGTTCCGGACACTACATTCGCGAGAGCCGTCGACCAAGCGCTGCGAGCCTGCTTCGCTCTGCTGAAGTTCACCGACCATATTCAAATAGTCTACATCCGAGGCTCGACCGGCAAAGTCGACGTTTACTTTGACAAGGGACAGGGTTCGCTGAAGATACATTGCCGATGGCTGGATTTTGCTTGTATGCACCACCGGTCGCTCTGCCGGCCTTGGTCTCGGACCAACCTCGCCGACATAACCGCGCCGTTTTTCTGCTGCCATGTGGTGGAAGAGGTCTTGGTTCGATCACTTGCATCCATGTTCAAGGCGCATCCGACGTCTCGACTAGCAGAAGTGATATTCATGCGGCAGATTGACCACAGGATCCAGTTGAAGCCATACCCCGGTGGTATCCTGGTCAGTTGGGAAGACAATGAGTCGGAATCGGTTCGCAGGCTCGGTCCCAGCGGTCCGGACTACCATGTTGTGCTTCACGAGGACAACTGTGCGAACTCTGGGACCGCACTTCTCCACGATGAAGCAGGTAAGTGGTCGTAATCATGCGGGGAACAGCTGCTCACCGTTCAGTACAGCCCTCCCCAACGACGTGGTGCCCTGTGGCTGTCGCCGGCAATTTGCTCGTCAGACACACCGAATGTGCCTCTTTACCGGTTTGTCTCACACATCCACATATTATGCCATGATTTCGTTGTACGAAGATCGAGCGTTTTATGGAGTGCCGTCTGATCGAGTATCGCCTGAGTCGTATGAGAAGGTGGGAAGCCTCTCCCTTTAGACGAGGTAGAAAGCGCCTTCGCTCTGTGCTGTTTAACAGATGAGGATCTGACAGGAAGGTACAGTGGATTTCGAAAACAGTTTACCCCCCGGACACACGCATTTACTCTCCCAGAGACCCACTTTGGCGCCTAGTCCGGATCGCCGGGGTTCTAGATCCTCCGGCAGCCAATGATACGGTGTCATCACTCGGGGAGGGGGCTTCATCTAGCTACAATTAGCTTAGCGCAGTCTAAGTGGGGCGCTGGGAAAGAAAGCGTGTGTGTCAACGGGGTAATCTGTTTTCGAAATCCTCTGTACGGCATGAGGCGGCGTCTGTATCCTCACCAGAACATCCCTTGGTACTTCTTCTTGATAGAAGCGACAGGCGTACGGTTGAGGAATTGCGACTTCGTATCGTGAGCGACGCAAGGAAACAAAAATGGCGGGACGGGCCGAGACGCGAACCCCTGAGCCGCCCGACCACGACGAACGCGAGAATTCACCCCCACGATTGGCGAGGCCGAGACGCACCACGAGGCCACCAAATAACTATGCTCGAGAGCAAGAGATCGACAACGGCCAGAGAACGACACGCTCTCAGCTGAGGAAGAAAACGCAAGACAAGCCAACTGCTCAACGTGACGCGGTCACTTCGGACGACTCCGCTACGGAGAGCGAGGACCTCAACACCGCCACACTCGTGAAAGAGCTCATTAAACTCAGGCGAGAGATCAGGCGACGCGATGAATTGCACAAGGAAGAGCTCCAGAAGGTTAAAGAGGAATTCAGCGCCGCCCTTGCCGAAGTTCGACATGAGCTACAGACCCTGACGGATAGACCCCTGACACCGCAATCCCACTCCGAGATATGCGCTCAGAACAACCACGATGAGGTCCTCCGCGAGATTCAATCCCTACGCGATGCCATCAGCCCTTCCGTTCCCACTGGCTCCCCGTCCTATGCAGATGTTGCCCGCACTCCTCCGACCAGTCACCCGAGTAACATACGGACTCTCTCATCGTGGAACACGACGCCTACTACCTTCACCGACACGTTATATTGCACCATAGACACCTCGAAGATAGCAGACTCGGATAACGAGAGGATCTCCGCAGGCCCAATCAGGACGGCAGTTGAGACAGAGATCCGGACGATGGAAAACCACACGCACTGGCGCTGCCGAGCTGTCACGGTGGACCCGAAGAATATAAACCGAATTAGGATAGCGTGCCGCGATGAAGCTGAACACCAGCTGGTCAAGAAAGTGGCGGAAGCGAAGATCGGCGCAGGAGCCCGGGTGCTTCGTGACGAGCTTTACCCGATCAAAGTCGATAGCGTTAACAGGGCTGCAGTACTAGACGAAAACGATAAGATCCGGACGGGAGCCATAGCAGCCCTCAGCGAGGAAAATGAAACCACCGTTGCTAAGATCGCATGGCTCAGCAAAAAGGAGAGCGCGAAGGCCTATGGATCAATGGTCGTGTACCTTACCAAAGGCTCTGATACAAGGAGGCTCCTGGCCGATGGATTCTTTCACGCTAGGGGGAGTCTGGCGTGACCAGCGTCTTTGAATATCGACCATGACCGACACAATGCTACAATTGCCAGGAGATTGGCCATAAGGCTTTCCAATGCAAGAACGCCCAGAAGTGTGCAAAATATACCACGGAAGGCCACCGTCATAGCAACTATGACAGTTCGATCTTTAAATGCGTTCCGTGCGGAGGCCCACACGAATCGTAAAGCAAAAACTGTCGGAAGCTCTATCCATCACATCATAAATAAAACTCTTCGAGTAATTCAACTGAACGTGAGGAAACAGGGTGCAGTTCTCGAGAGCTTAATGAATAACGAAGAGACTAAGAACGCGGTGGCGTTAGCGATTCAGGAACCCTAAGCGAGGAGGATTCAAGGCCGGCTCTTAACTACCCCGATGGGACATCACAAATGGACAAAGATGGTTCCCTCTACATAGAGGGAAGGCAGGTGGGCAATTCGAAGTATG